TAAAATATTTATTATTATCTTTTAATAATAAAATTAATAATAAATTATGTAAAAATTCAGAAAGTAATAAAATATTACAAAATGAAATTTTTTACAATATATATTGAATTACAATGAAAATAATTAAATTTGAAGTAATCTGAAAACAATAAACCTGAAACAAAATACATTAAAATACTAGCTGTTGAATTTCGAAAGTTTACATTATTGTTAAAAAATTTAGTATTGAACTTTGAAGGTTTTTGATAACAAAATAATACATATTGAAATTTAACCATTAAATTTCAATTTCGAAAGATTGCGACACAATCGATAACCTTTGAAATTCAATATTGTGATATAATTTCGAAGGTTTTCAAATTAATATAATTACTGATGTTGTTATATTACAAATTTGTTTATAATAAAGCCATTTTTCGATATACAATGAACCCTTTATAAATGTACTCCTGGAAACTAGCATTAGTGCATTTATAGAGTATGCATTTATAGAGGGAGGAATGTACTTATAGAGAGTGCATTTATAGAGGATTCATTTTGATGAAGATTTCAATTTTGATTTTCTCTCTATTGAATTAATATTGATATGAGATTTTTGATATAATTTATATCTTGAGGATTTTGAATTTCTCTTTAAAAATAACATTTTTATTTTGATATCACATTTTATAACATTGTTTTGTTATTAATTTAAAAATCAAGGCAATGTTTCATTTTGGTTTTTAAAAAAAATATTATAATATATTTTTAAAATGACAATATAATATTATTTTATCATTACAATGATGTTTATATTTAATTATATTTTATTACAATTATGAATTAATTAGATTAATTAGATTAATTAGAAATTAAATATTTGCATCTAAAGAAATATCACCACCTTCTTTTTCATCTGAATAAATTAAATAGTCTAATTTAGCATCACCCTTGTAGATTTGACAAAAAAGAAATATAATAAATAAAAATGAATAAATAAAAAAGAATTTTAAAAATTAAATTAAAAAAATAACAATATGAAAACTCCTTTATATCAGATCAACCACGTAGTGATGGATATGTCAAAAAGGTATGAGAAGAGTTAAACAACGGATCATAATAAAGAACAAAATAATTTATTTATGAAATCAGTATATTTTAAAACTAAAAATGAAATTTATCACATGATTGCATTAATATGCAAGAATTTATTACACCAAATCAACAGAATCAAAACTCTTTCACTATTTCGATTTATTTGAATTTTTCAAAGATGTAAGTTCGAATGCTTATTTTTTATTTTTTATTTTGAGGGACGAGGAAGCTAACGACTATAATTATAAAAAATAAATTAAAATAGGGCGGACTATTGGGTATCACAGAAAAAGCATTGGTGTCAATATTGTCGCATTTATATTGCAGATAATAAACCCGTAAGTTGTTTTAAATTAATTTGATTTATTATTGCTATTTGTTAAAATTAACTTATATAACTTATATATAATATATATATATATATATATATATTTATTATATTTGTTCATAAATGATCAGAGTCGGTCTATGCATGAACAAGGAAAAAAACATAAAGATAATATGGAAAAATTTTTGAGAAATATTTATCGTAAAGAAGAAGCAGACAAAAAAGAACAAGATAAAGTTAAACAAGAGTTAAAAAGAATTGAACAGGTGAATTAATATTAATAATATATAATTTTTAATTCTTAATAATTCTTAAATTATTAATTTAAATTAATTTAATTTTAAAATTAGGCTGCTATGAAACAATATAAGAGAGACGTAGCATTGGAAAATCCGGGTGCTAATAGTTTATCATCATTCCCTCCACCTCCAATAATAAATACAACTTATAATTTATCAACTCATTCTCATAAATCTTATTATGATGTATCATCACAACGTTTAGAATCAACAACACAACATTTTAATAATATTAATGATATTAATGATAAAAATGATAATAATAATAATGATGATGATGATAATAATACTATTTCACAAATAACGGATATAAAAGATGAAATAGGAGATGAATCAACTGAATCAGTTATAGGGGAATGGAGACCAGTAACACCGCCACCAACACAACAATTAAATATAAAACAAGAACCATTTATAAAACAAGAACCTAATGATAATGATAATTCTTTACCACCACAACCTATTCAGAATGATGATGATGATGATGATGATGATGATGATGATGAATCAAAAAATTTAAGTAATTTTAGAGTGGTGGAAAAAAAACTTTCAATAGATGAAATAATAGTAAAAGAAGAAATTAATAATGGAGAAAAGAGGATGAAGGATATATCATTTAAAAAGAGAAAATTTGGAGGTGAAAATAAAACAAGGAATATCAGAAAAAGAACTGATTAATATTTTTATAAATTAAATTCAAGGAAATCATCATTGTAACAAAAATTAATTTTATTATAGGATTATTATTATCACCATTTTACAATTAAAAATAAATTTCATATTTAATAAATTACAACAAAACAACCATCATCCTCATCTTTGTTTGAAATTTGCCATGCGTCGTTTTCTCATTTCATCTAATCTCTGTGTATAATCCCATAATTCTTTAGTTAATTCTGATTCTCCAAAACTTAGAGTTACCAATCTATATAATATATATATATAGACAGGATAATTAATATAATAATATAATATAATAATAATATAATTAATATAAAAATATAATAATACCTTGCCAAGGTCATTCTTAGTTGCAAATCAAAATGATTAATTAAAATTTGACCATTTCTAGAAGCATTTCTTCTTTGAATAACAAATTGATTTTCAATATACTTAAAATCAGAATAAAATGTGAAACAAAATAATTAAATTAAAATTGAATTATACAATAAATATTAACAATAATCACAACAAAAAAAAATAGATATAAATCAACCTTTGAAACATCATCAGGGATAAAATAATTCTCAATATATCGGTGAACACCAAGATATTTTCGGAATTTTACAAGTATTTCTTCGGGTAAATCTTTATTATAATTATTATTATTATAATTATTAGTCAATAAAGGAAGTATACAATCAACCTAAATGAAATGAGAATAAATAAATAAATATATATATATATGTATATAAAATAGATGAATAGATGTGAATATAAAGAATATAAAGAGTAAATATATTAATGAATTCAGAATGTGCTTACCGGTAAAAAAGGTTTAGCCTCAGATAATATAATTATTCCAATATCAGTTTCAAATTCAAAATCATAAAAAGGGAATGTATATAAGAGTTTTTGATTATCAATTAAATTATTTAATGCTTGTAAATTCTTTACACCTGATGAATGAATAAAGTGAATAGAACAAAATAAATGAATAAAATAAAAATAAATGAATAAAATAAAAATAAATGAATATAAAAATAAATGAATATAATAAATGACAAATTTACCTTTATCATTAAGTTTTCCTTCTTTCATAACAGTCTCATCAATCAAAAACCAAGTTCCTTTACTAACTTGAAATACTCCGGAATTCAATTCATCATTATTACTATTTGGAAAATAATCAATTTCATTCAAAGTTGAAAGAGTAAATTGAAGATCATGATATTTTGGTAAGATTGATGAGAGAACTTTTGAAACATTTTTGGAAAATTGATTTGTATGAACTAATGTGGAAGCAGAAGAAGTAATGGAAGGGGGAGAAGTAATGGTGACAGTAGAAGGTATGTTACAGATATTCAAGGTAAATTTGCCTAAAGTTAGACCATTCTTTCGACTATATCTAATTTATATAATTAATTAATTAATAATAGTTAACTATAGTTAATAATATATAAAAATAGTATATTTTCACTCACACTCTAGATAAAAGTTGTAATAATACAAATTCAGCAACCACTTCATCACCTCCAAAAACTGATGCAATATATTGTAATAAATTTCTTCGAGTATCGCTTGCTTGACAACTTACTTCTGTAATAACAATAACAATTTATATTAATAATTTATATTAAAATCTATATTAATGATTAATAACAGTTTACATTAATAATTTATAAGATAATAAATTAATAACGATAATAATAATATTATATCATACCATATAAATTATTATTATAATAGTTTAATAATAAAGGATTGCCAGAATGATGAATATTATTATTACTATAAAATATTGAATGCATACACGGGATATTTGACATTGTCATCGAATCAAAACAAAATTCATTTCCATCTTCTTGCAAATTATTATTATTGCTATCGTTGTTGTTTGATTCATTAACATTAATTCTGAATTTATGAATTTTATAGCAATAATAACAATGATATATGTTAATTATAAACTCACGCATGAACGGACAAATAAAATTTTAATAAGAAACTTTAGTAAAAAAAAAAAACCTCGGGTGTATAAGAACACCTATGAATTCAACAACTTCCGCCACTTTGAGAATATCATCATCTTTACCATATATCTATATTATGAGATTCAATAACATTATAATATATTATTCAGTAACATTATATTATATTATTTAATAAATTTTATATAATATATATTCACCTTAACGATAGCTGCCATATGATGCTCGTTAGGAAATGGATATTTCGATACAAGTTTTTTCAATAATCGAGAATTTCTTTCTCCCTTATCCTTATTATTATTATTACTACCATCATTATCCAAAGATAAATTTACCGTTGATCTTATAATTTCTAATGATTGTTAAATCATATGAATTAGTTATTAGATATAATTTATATTAAAGAATAATCAATAATTCTATTTTTTAAAACCTTCAATGCTTGTTCCTATGCTTGTTTCTATGGATGATGATGATTGTTTTCGACTACTACTACTACTACTACTATTATTATTATTATTATTATTATTATTATTATTATAAGCGTAAACATATACGTTAAGGAAATATATATATATAATATTCTCAAAGTATAGTAATAGTCATTAATAGTTAGCAATAGTTAGTAATAGTCTAATGTAGGATATTTGTTTAACCCAATCTGTTTCTCCTGGAACTGATACACAATAATATAAAAGTCTTTCTTCAAGTTGATTATTGCTGTAGATTGATGATGCTGAATTTAAATCAGTATCTAAAATTTCATTATCATCAATATCCTTTATTTCCCAAAATAAAATAAAAAATAATAAAAAAATTAATTAATTAGGAAGATTAATAATTAATAATAAAAAAAAAAAACTTGTGTGATTATATATTACCATATCCATATCATCAGTATATTTATTAAATTTCCATTTCTATATTTTATTTTTAATAAAATTAATAAAAATAATAAAATTATGAAATAATAAAAAATAATAATAATCCATACCTTTTGACCATTTTGACTTCTTGTTTCATAAGAGCTTGCATAAATTTCATGTCCTAATCCCGTATTTTGAATCATAGCTCGAAAACGTACCAATGAATGATTTGGAATATCATAAATAGGTGTATCATTTATCGAAGGTATCTAAATTAATTTAATTAATTTGTAATTATATAGAAGTATAAGAATAGTATAATTAATATAAACATAATTTTAATATAATAGTATAATTAATATTATATGATATAAAATATAATAGTAAAATTTAACCTTCATCAACTCTTCGGTTGTGTTAAAAACATTTTTAAAATAAGTAGGTATATCAAACTCGTTGATATCAGACGTTTCGATTAAATCTGATTGTTGCTTTTGTTGTTGTTGTTTTTCTAAAGTGAATAATAATAATGTATAAATAATTAAATTGTTTAAATAGTATAATTGTATAATTTATCGTGTTCGTGTTTAAGTGTACATTGTTTTTGATTATTATAAACTATTATCTAATTAATTACCAAGTAGATTTCTGACTACATCAAGAGGTTTAATTATACAATCTAACGTGGAAAATTCTTTAACTTCTTTCATCATGATCGTAAAGATTAATTTTAATACTTTTAACACTTAGTACTTTTTAGTACTTTAATACTTAATACTTTATTACTTTTAGTATTTTTAGTACTTTTAGTACTTTTAGTACTTTCAATAGACGCGTTTTTTCAAAGGTATTGTTTTTGATATATTTATGGTTATTTTTTTGATAAATCAAATTTCATGTGACAAAATAGTTATTTTTTTGATGCATCTATAAATAAAACAATTATAAACATATCAAAAAAATGACCATTTTTGTCACACGTATTTGATCAAAAAAATAACCATAGGTGTCTCAAAAACGATACTTTAGCGTTTTTTTGTGATTATGCCACGTGAAGATCATTCAAATCTATCAACTGTTATTGAGATCTACAGTGGCAAAAGTATCGTTTTTGATTTTATAAGAATTTATAGAGTTGGCACATAAAAAACGGAGAATAACCTATAGTTCAAGTCTAAAAAATCTCAAAATTATATTATTATTCTAAGCTCAGATAAAAAAATTCTTTGTATTATTATTCAATCAGTTCATGTCTCTATTATTTTATAGTCAAAATTATCAGTAATATTCTTGTAAAAACTATATGAAGTAGCTAGTTATATTTTGATTATTACTGATATTGAAAGATTCACAGATGGACAATTTTTAAAAGTAATACATTAGTAAATCTTTTATTTTGCTCAAAATATTTGAATATCTTTATTATCTGTTATAATATTACTATTTGATAATGAATTTAAAAAAATATTATAAATGAGTTCTTTATTATAAAAGGGATTTTAACACTTTAACTAGCTTGTCTACTTGGTAAGATATATAACTAAGGATTAATTATATGAAGTTTATTTAAAATTTATAAAAAATTATATGACAAATTAATAATATAGAGAATTAATAGAAATATTTAATAGGTTATAACTTTATTAATAAATATAATAATAAATATAAAGATAAAATATAAAGATAAAAATAGAAATTAGAATTAAAGGTATTAAATAAAAGACTATTAAAGGGAACTTCAGGTTTATTCGAATTTCTTATTTGAATTCTATATTTTCTTCTCTGTTTTTTCAAGGTCATGGAAGACATATATTTATATATTCTTTAATTTACTGTACTATATGATTTACCAATTTACTAATTTACTAATTTTAGTAACAAGTAATTTATCTAGATAATATACTATTATATACAACAGGTAATTTATCTAGGTGATGTACCTTGGTATATCACTTATTAAACAATTTATGATTTACTAATATTTTATCTAAATAATAAATAAATTAATAAAATAATAAATTACATATAAATAAATAATATAATGATAAAAATATTATATTAAAATTAGAATTCCTATACTATCACAGATCAAATACAAAAGAATTACTATACCAAAAAGGAATTTTGATTTTAGCTAATTTATATAATAAAATGATTAATTTTTATTAATTTTAGTTAATTTATAATATAGGAATTACCATTTAGTACAGTGATTCTTTTGTATTTAACTAGTGTATAGATTAGCTAAAAATCGATCACAATCAACTATCCTATTACATCCTATATTATAAATTAGCTAAAATTAGAATTCCTTTTTAGTACATGTATTTGACCTGTATAGTATATATATATATATATTAAATAATTATTTGATAGGTATAAATATTATTAATAGAAGACAATTTAAATATCTAGTTCAAAAAAATATAAATATTATATAACAACAAAAGACATAATTTGATTGGCTCAATTTTATTAAGAGATTGCATAATCTTGTCGATCAGATGACTCATACCTTTGATGATCAAAAGTAGATGACGTATGCAAGAATATAAAGTGAGTTCTTTGTAAGATAGAACTTTCTCCTTTTGAATCTCCACCCAACGGAAATTTTCATCCAAAATTAAGATTATGTGAGTATCTAATCCAGTTTTTTTTTACTGCAATGAATCAATATTTATTTTTATTCTTTCTATGTGATTACTTATGTGAATATGTGGGCCGTATTTGTAGTCACCTAGTCTCAACAATTTTTTTTTAAATTTTTTTTTTTTGTTCTCAATTTTTTACATTAGCACATGGCTGACTCAGGACCGGCCGATAGTCGTGGTGGTAAGTATTAATTGTAAATTTCCACACATGCACAATAAGAATTATTTTTTTTTCGAATCTTGGATGGATTTAAAATAATTCGTTTAAATATTAATATTATATTATTACATCAATAAATTTATAGGACGTGGTTTCGGACGTGGTCGTGGCGACAGAGGCCGACGCGGAGGTCGAGGTCGTGGAGGTCGTCGCGGTGCTCGCAAGGACGAAGATAAAGAATGGTAATTTCTCTAATAACAGTTTTATTATCAATCTAACACGTTTAATCTTTAAATAATTTTATATTAGAATAAATTTTAAATTTTACAAATGTTAAAATATTAACCCATAAAATTTTAGGGTCCCTGTTACTAAGCTTGGACGTTTGGTTAAGGAAGGCAAGATCAGAACTATTGAACAAATATATTTATTTTCGCTTGCTATCAAGGAATATCAAATTATAGACCGATTCTTCGGCACTGCATTAAAAGATGAGGTCATGAAGATCATGCCTGTACAGAAACAGACCCGCGCTGGTCAAAGAACAAGATTCAAGGTTATTCAACATTCTTTAGATATATTTTATTAAAAGATTTAATTCTTGCATATGTGTTCTTAACACTATTGTAATTGTAAGTATAGGCTTTCGTTGTTATCGGTGATTCCAATGGCCATGTTGGTCTCGGAGTTAAATGTTCAAAAGAAGTTGCCACCGCTATTCGTGGCGCTATTGTCCTCGCTAAACTCTCAGTCATTCCTGTACGTCGTGGATACTGGGGTTCTTTACTTGGTGATCCACACACAGTCCCTTCCAAGGTTACTGGCAGATGTGGTTCCGTTATATGTCGTCTCGTCCCTGCACCTCGTGGTACTGGTATAGTAGCTGCTCCTACACCAAAAAAACTTTTACAACTTGCAGGTATTACTGATTGTTACACTACATCGCGTGGATCCACTCGTACTTTGGGAAATTTTGTTAAGGCCACATTCGCCGCTATTGGCAATACTTACGCCTTCTTGACACCCGACTTGTGGAAAGATACCGAACCTAAACAATCTCCATATCAAGAATTCAGTGACATTTTGGCTGTATGTAAAAATATATATTCTTATTTGTTTAATTTGAATTTTTTTTTTTGAAAGCTAACATGATTGTTAAAACTTTATAGAAAGCTCCTGAGAAAAGGAGGGTTTAAGCTTCTAGGGAGTTGTGGTTTCCGTTTATCTCCCCTTCTTTCTTTTATAAGGGTCAAACCAATAATAAATACTATGCCCTCGTTTTGATTCTATATGTAGTAATGAATAATAAAGATTTCATTTTTTAAAAAATATAAATTTGATAAAGAAAAAAGATTTACATAATCATGTTAATGTAAATTAACCAATAAAAAATTAACGTATAACGTGCATAAATCAACATCTTGTTACCTTTTTTGGCTGTTGAGCGTCTCGCGCCTCGCAGTCAGTTATAAATAAACTAATCACATAAAGGCTACTACATAGCTATTGTGACTATTTCGGATTTTTAGTCATCAAATTTTCGAAAAAGAAATAAACTTTGACAAATTATTTTTTATATTCAGATATCAACCAAATTTATTTATTTTTAGCTTGGAAATAATCTTTTCAAAGTGTTAATTGTTGAAGATGCAATTGGGTTTTAATTATTGATTTGTATATTTGATTACTCTTTGAGACTAATATAAGATTGTGTTGATGTGATATGAATCTATAAAGTACTTTTATATACTGTTTATGCATACTTCTATATTTAACAACAAATTCAATTAATGCAATCCATATTGTAAAATTTAAATGAATAAACAAAAAAAATCTTTATTTATGAATAATTTGTAAATATATTAGTTACAATCAATAAATTTTGATCAATGTAGAATTTATAATAAAAATCACAAAGATTGAATTCTACACTGACTTCTCAATATTTTCTTTTGTACAGTGTATTATTAAATTTTTCATTCTCTCTTGAAAGGTGAAACTAGTGATATACACAATCCCTTTGAATATCATCAAAAAATAAAAGAAATATAGGTCCAAATAAAGAAATATACTTGTAAATGATCTTAAATATTTTTTAAAAAAGATAATACTATTGATAATACATTGTGATATTGATTTTAACCCCTGTAATCTTTAAATATTCACTTTTTTTTTTTGCAGTATAGTCCCATTTAAAGACCTATTCATATAAAAAATTGGCTTGTATAAATAAAGTTACATTTACTGTATAGTACATAAAATATACATAAACTCTATTGTATGTACTGTATATCAGTCAAGTTGAATGAACTTCCAACTTGAACACAAATATAAAATTTTTTCTTTTTCTTCATGAGCGAAATTTCCCTTAACGCCAGCGACACTGGCTAGCCCGTGCCAAAATATAAGGAAAAAATAATTATAGTTGGTTTTTTTTTTTAGCTATTTATTGTTTTAGTACTGTTTGACCAACTTTATAACCGGTTGTGAACGGACTATACTTTAATCTTCCTTTTAAATTATTCTTCTGTAAATATTTTTTTGTATTATTTTTTTTTTTGTATCATTTTTGTATCATTTTGAAGTCATATTTTTTTGGTTAGAAAAAGACTTTGAGTTATTTTATAATTTTCTCGTGTCTATACACTGAAAGGTAATTAACCAAGCAAATCGAGCAATTATTTTTATTAAAGAGAATTCGTTTAAAAGCGAAACGTCTATATAACAAAGGCTAAAAAAATGTCTTGCGAGGAGTTGACTGAAGCTGATTCGCATCAGGCGACGTCGTCAAACAAGGAATCGCGAGAAAGCTTATCTTCATGTGCAGCCCCTAAAAAGGCCGCGTCTCCTAGTTTTCAACAAAACGAACCAGAATCAAGTCAAGAAATAAAAAGAAGACAAAAAGAAATAAATGAAAAAGACATTTTAAAATCTGCTAGCACTTATCCAAGTGCTTCAAGCGGAGACAATATCGATAAGTCAATTACTTCTAGTACCTCGATTATCACTAACTTAACCAATGGTGTAGAAGATGCCTTGAATATTCAAGCTGGAGTCACTACGATCAATCATGTATCCGATTATGATCAAAATGAAAACGTGATTTATCGGAGACAGAGTATCAATGGTAATTCTCAAAGGTTGTTGAATTCCCAATCTTGTTTATCTTTAGATCAAAATCATAATTCGATGTTATTTAGTTCTTTAATTAACATTACCACAACCAATACTAGTAGCCCTTCATCCTCATCTCCTAAATCTACCAACACAAGTGCGAGCACCGTGAACAACAACAATAATAACAGTTCCAACAACTCTTCTTACTCTAATGGTATAAATATGAAGGGATCAATTTATGAAGATACTCCACAAATGTATCCAAATCCAAACGCTCCATTCATTCCAGTTCCATCCCAATACTTTACACCCCAATTCTTTTCAAATAATGGACAATTTTTTTATGATGCCCAGTACAGATTTGGTTGTCCTCCACCACCACCGCCACCACCACCTTCTCAATCTCAATTACCTCCTCCCTCACAGCATACATTTGTCAGATCTAATGTTTATCCATATCCTCAAATACCCGTAATTACTTCTATGCATCATCCTCCCCCTTTTCACAATCATTCTCCTTTAATTCCATCTCAATCTCTTCCTGTGAGATATCTCAATACACCTAGTGTTTCAGGAGGAGATTCCGGATTTTCATCCCGGAGAAGTTCATTGGATCATATTAGAACTCCAGATTTTGGCTCACAACATAGCTCAAGGATACATCAACAAAAGAAACCCAAACAATTGGATAAAGCTCTTTGGGTAGGAAATTTACCAGATTCTACTACATACGAGGAATTGAGGGACTTTTTTGCAGACGAGAATATGGAGGTAATTTTTTTTTGTTATACAAATTTGTTAAAAGGATTTATTTATTACCTTTTTTTTGAATCAAAATCAGGTGTTTTTTTTAGACGATAAATAGTTGGATTTAATATACGTGAATTCTCTTTAAACCTTAACGAATTTTTATTTTCTATAGAGCGTATTTCTTATCAAAAAATCGAATTGTGCCTTTGTAAACTACAAGACACATGAAGCTGTTATGCAAGCTGCACGCAAATATAATGAAAATGGTATGAAAATACACAAAATACACCGAATGGTGAAATATATGATCGAGTTTGACGGAGTTACCTAAATTAAATCGTATTCTCGTTTTTTTGGTGTCGGATCTGAAATCATGTTTATGCTTCCTTTCAGATTTCAAGAATATTAAACTAGTATGTCGACCAAGGAAGGTAATTATAATCAACACCTTTTCTTATTCTAACATTATATAAATAAATAAATAAATAAATAAATATAAAAATATATATATATATATATATATGTATTATATTATAACATATACTAACCCTTTTTTTTTTCTTCTTTTCTCTCAATAATTAGCAAACTCCTGGAGATTTAAAATTGAAATCTGAATGCCTGTCATCTCTGATTTCTGAGAATACATCACCTACTACTCCTTCAGAAACAGGATCCACCGCTTCCTCTTCTACAAGATCTCATAGATCTTCTTTGCCACCACGGCAACGGATTCGACAACCATCTGCATCTATGTCTCCCGCGTCTTCCGTATCTTCATCAAAGCCTTTATCACATAGTAGGTATTTTATTCTAAAATCTTTAACCCAGGATGATCTTGACATTTCCGTAAAAAGTGGATTATGGGCAACCCAACCTCATAATGAAGCTGCTTTGAACAAGGCTTTTAAAGTAAGTCTATTTTGTAAGTTTAAAAATTATATATATATATATATATTATAATCAACTGAAATTATAAATTTTCATATTATTGACATAAAAGAGTGTAGAAAATGTTTTTTTGATCTTTAGCGCCAATAAGAGTGGTGAATTTTATGGATATGCAAGGTAACAAATCATAATATCCTACTTTATTTATACTCTCTTATTGCCTGTTAAAAGTTTAATATTTTAAGTTTAATATTTTTTAATCCAGAATGATAAGTCCAATCAATAAAGAGACAACCGAAACTATTCAATGGACTCCAATTGATGAAGTAGCATTGGCAGCTTCATCTTCGCGTCCTTCTTATGGTTCTGATGATAAAGCACGTTCTAAAAAGTCTCAGGAGGAAGATAATGAAGATTGTGAAGATGATGTTGTTCCTTCTCGAAATTGGGGCACGACTTTTAAAGTAGAATGGATTAAAGTGTTAGTGAATTTACAAAAAAATAATATTTTTAAAAATATTTCGTTCATTTTTAATCTTACAAAATATTCCACACATATATAATTGCACACATATATTATGCACACACACACATATATATATTATTACGCATATATCTATTACAAATATATTTATTCCATTTTTATATTTATATGAAATAGTCAAAAATTGCCATTTATTCGGACACGCCATCTTCGTAATCCGTGGAACGCAAATCGTGAAGTTAAAATTAGTCGAGATGGTACCGAAGTTGAGCCAGTTGTTGGTGAAAGATTACTCGCCGAGTTTCACAAATCACCTCCACCATCTGTTCCCTCACCTTATGTTTCGCTTACTGGTCCTTTATTAACACAAACATTAAATATCGATAATCAAAGCGTTGGGGATACTCAAGACCGGTAAAGCAAATTTGAAATTAAAAAAAATAATAATTCAAAAAATAATAATCAAAAAATAATTCTTACAATTTATATTTTTAATATAAGGAGGGCTTCGATGTCATCTCAAAGTAGTACACCATCATTACCATCATTACAAACACCATTACAACCAATGATGGAACCAAACTTCATACCAAATAATCCACCGAATTTACCAAGTTTTTTTCCACCCCCTGGTTATTGGCATCCTCAACCCATGTTAGTACCTCAATATAGTACTGCGGCGACACCCCAAAATTATGCTTCTAACCAACAAACGTGGGTTACATCTCCTTCCAAAGATTCTTCTCGTACACAACAAACTATACAGGCAGCTGCAAATGGAAGCGGTACTAATACGATGTCACCAATATCTTTAGAACATCAACAACAACAACAACAACAATACGTGGAGGTAATATGGGTAATTATTAAAATTATTTGATAAATTTATTATTTTCGTTTTATATTCTTATGATTAATTTATTGATTGATTGATTGATTATTATTAAATTTTAAAAAATTTATTATTTTAGGCCGCAGTTCCCCAACATCATTATCCGTCAACTCAATATTATCCACCTAACACTAATGGAACAATGATTACTCAATATCAATCTCAACAATACTATAGAAATAATAATGATGAACAATATCAAATTGGCTCTAAATCACAAGAACAAATAAATAATGATCAAGAGAATGATTCTACTACTCATTTAATGCCTTACATTATTGAGGATCAAAGGAAAAGTTTTGAAGCTACTAGTAGTGCATAGTAATTTACAGTAAACAAGAAATTCTCGAATATTTTTTTTAGAAAGATTATTCTCAATATCGTTTTGTGATTCAAATCAATTTATATATAATACCTTTTCTTCATTATTGGATTCATACTTATCGTATTCACTACACTATTGTATCCACTTATTTAGTTCCATTTTTTTTTTATTAAGATATGCACTTTTTAAATGACTTCCCCTCCCCCAAAAAATTTATTTATCTTGTCTTTTTTTTTTTTGTCCTTTTTGTTTCAAATTTTTTTCATGTTCACTAAAGGTATTCGTTCGATCATTTTTCATTTATATGTAATTTTAATGTGAAGTTTATGTTGTATTTTTTCGATTGGGAATTTGCTCTTGTTTTTATAATGTAGTATATGTCAATAGGTGTATTTTTTATGACAACAAATAAATTGTATTTTTGCCTTTTTTATATTCACGAATTTTGAATTGGATTTATTAACTTCACGAGCGTATATGTAGGTTCGCGATCGTTTTCAATTATATAATAGCTAGATTTACGAATAATTACTATATTGGTATTATTGTCCGTAGGACTTTATACTTAAACATCATTTTGTATTTTTAATGTAGGAATTAACTACACTGCATCTTTAATTTCTTGAGATAATGTTTGTTTTTATCAATGTTTCTAAGAAAATAATAGATAATTAATTGAAAATTAAATTTATAACAAAAAAAATGTTTTTTAATTCTGTTATATTTACCTTTTATAATGAATTTGATATAATTTATATATATGTTGGAGATGTTCTATTGGACTAAAGATTGAATATTTTGAATGACAAAAAAAATTATTATTAAAATTAATAATATTTAATAATTAAAATAACTAAATAATATAATCTTATAATTTACCTAAAGCTTGTCCTTATGTTGATCTGCAAGAATACAACCTAATCCTTTTCCATGTATATGATAAATATTAAAAATTTCACCAGTATCCTTTTCAATACATGTGAATAAATCTTCAAATAAATTTTTATATGCTTCAGCTGTTTCAATATTAGTGAATATTCAAACAAAAGTCAAAGCTAATATTAAATAATAACAAATAAAAAAATTAATTAAAATAATTAATAAATATTATTATTAATAGAATTTATAAAATTCAACTTACTTTTTATACATGAGATACATGAGATAAATATGCTGAAACTTTCCATTTATTTGTTTTACCATAGATTCTTTTAAATGTCATATCAATTTCAATATATGTTAATTCTTTAATTGCTTTAAGTAGTTGTTTAGTGACACATAAAACAATATATTGACCATTGTCAAGAAAGCCTAAATAAATAAATTAAATTAAAAAAAAAATTTTATTAATTATAAATTTAATTAGAAATAAAATTATTTATAAATTGATTGAATATATGGATCTGTACTTATTTCATGTTTCATAAATTTATAAGTAACTTTCAAAATATTTTGTTCAAATGAATACTGAGAACATTGTTAAAGGTGAAAATCCACTCAGTTTCCTTACTCCTTATATCAGTTCTTTTAAGAAGTTTAATATGCTACACATAGTAGTTTGATATGTTTTTTATAATAGAAGGCACCAGTTCATTTTCAGTTAGAACGAACAAACTATTTGTTGTTACAACATAGCCAATTGAACTTTGCTATTCTTTCAATAAAAGATGTTAACTTACTATGCAGGTTTATCTCATTTTTTTAATTTGTTCTGAGGTTTATTTCCCAATCCATTATCTTTTTATTTAGTATACAAGTTTTATATCTTTTGCCTGTCTTATAACTAATACTTTTTCTTCATTTGCAAAACTTATATCTTTAACTTATCTTATGACAAATAGTTTAAACAATATAGGACTTATATCTTTGGCCTACTTTAATAATCTTCATATTTGTTGCTACAAATTAGTTTTACTCATTTTATGCTAAGTTTATAGACTTACTAATCTGTTGGATTTAGTTTTTTTCACCTAGTCCCTTAGTTTATTAAACTTGTCAATCTCTTCAGAATGTCCTTTTTCATACATCTGAATTATCATAATATTGTCATACCTTCTTGTGGACAAAAGTCTGAAGGATAACATTAATTTACTACAATTTCATAAGGATTACTAAGATTAACTCAACTTAAACTATTTATTAAAAACTTTTAAAAAAATATTACAAGGTAAGTCCTTTATTGTAAAAAGGTTTTAGTATATTAAACTAGCTTGTCTGTTTAGTAAGATGTATAGCTAAAAATTAATTACACAGAATTTATTCAGAATTTATAGATGATTACATAACAAATTAATAATATAAAGAATTAATTGGAATATTTAATAGATTATAACTTTATTAATAAATATAATGATAAATATAAAGATAAAATATAAAATAAAAGTAAAAATTATAAACTAAAGATATAAAATAAAAAATTATCAAAGAAGACTTCATATCTATTCAAATTTCTTATTTGAATCTCTACTTTAAAAGTCAAGAAAGACTTATATTTATATCTCTTTAATTTACTATGCTACAAGATTTACAGATTTACAAATCTACTAATTTTGATAACAGGTAATTTATCTAGATGATGTATCTAGTAATTCATCTGATATATTACCTGTTATATGATTTACGATTTACTAATATTCTATCTAAATTATACTTGCACACAAAATTATTTTGAAATCCTGAAATTATAATTTTGAAAAAAAGTCAAAATAGTTTTTTATAGAAGACAAAATTATTTTACTTAAAATTCAAAATTTTTTGATCACAAACTTTATTCTTTGATTAAATATATATATAACTGGATACTTTTTTTACTTTCATATATAGAATAGATTCTGTATAAATTTCAAAAAGTTAAAATACCTCAAAAATCTAAAATCAATTTTGAAAACATGTATAATCTAAATAATAAATAAACTAATAAAATAATGAATACAAATAAATAAATAAATAATAAAATATTATTTCACAATTATTTTCTCCTTAAAATTGAGCTCCTATAAAATTTTTCATATTTTAAAAAAGTTAGTTTCTACATTTATAAATAAAGTAATCAAAATCTATATTGATCAAATGACATAACTAATTTAAAATAATATATTTGAACTGGAAAATAAAAATTCTTCTAGAACTGATAATAGTTACTATGCTCTATTTGCAATAGTTAAAAATCAAGTACCATTGTAACCTGTATAAGGATAATTAACTTAATTAATATTAAATCTAGTTCAATTATTATACTTTTGATTAATTGATTTTTTCTTAACTAAATTTTGACTCAATAACTAAATAGAACTAAATAGTTAAATTCTAACTCAAAGACTAAATTCTGACTAAATTCTGGTACAATTTTAATTGGCTAACTTAACTTTGATCATGTAAAAAAATCATTATTAATATTTTTAATAAATTATCTTTAACCAATAACTTTATGAATATTAGTACTAGAAAAATAAAACATATATCATTATATAGTTAAGAATTAGAGCTTTCAATCGATTATAGAAATATTCTAGTAGAAAATTACTTCAAATCACATAAAATCAATTTGAATTAAAAATAAAAATAATTATTTTTAAATTCTTTACAAATATTAATATTAGAAAAACAATTTAACTATTATTTTGGAACTTATAATAAGAGCTTTTAAATGATTTTAGAATTTATATTTAATAATAATTATTTAATAAATTTTATAATTGCACTAGCCAATTAGAATTGCATTATTATTTAGCCTTTACACTAGAATTTAACTTTTGCATTAGAATTTAGCCATTGTACCAGAGCTAATTCCTGAGCTTAATTGGCTAAATTAAATCTAACTAAATCCTGGCTTAATTTGTATTACATCTATTATCCCTAGCCTATAATCTGTTGTATTTCTTCTTTAAATTATTTTATTGTTAAATGTTATTCAATAAGGTCTTTAGATAAAAAAGTTTAAGATCTAGAGTAGGTAAAGATACATTATCCATTTATTTTTACAGTATCAATGACAATACTTACAAGAGATAATATATCTCCTTTGTTATATAATTCAAAATTAAAATTAACTTCAATATTATATATATCACTAATATATCTATTAAAGTTTTGAAATTGAGTTCTTCGGTAATAAGTAAAAATAGTTAAAGAAATTTGTTGAAAATTTGTTTAAACACTAATTTGAATAGAGGTCATTTGAATATTAATAGTACTGTAGTCTAACTGTAAGCTTTAATAAAGTTCTAATAATCTTACTCATTGAGTTTCAAAAAGTTGAAGTTTTATATTTTAGAAAATTTTGAAATTTTGTCAAGAAATTTGAAGTCTTTTATATAATAAATTTTTGTGCACAAGTGGTAAATTGAATTTTTACTATTAGAAAATAATTATTACTCATGGTTTTACATATAGATACTGCTTAAATTCAAAATACTAAATTTCAAATCACAAATTATTACATCAGGAAATTTTCGGGGCGTAAATTTCCGTAACACAAACGGGACCCACGGAAATTTACGCCTAAAAATTCAATTTTTTTGACTTTGGTCGCAATTTACGAAACAGGAAGCGATTTTCTACTAAGATGTTTCTATGACAGATCGAAAGCCCTGGTTCTTGGCTACAAGATGATATATAAATTATTCCTGTAACATTGATATCCGCGGAGATATTCACGTTTAAATTTTGAACGTCCGTGAAAAATTCAGCATAAATTTTCCATAAATTTTCATAATTCTGCCAGAAATTTATCGTAATATAATGAAAATTTCCAGCAGAATTACGAAAATTTACGGAAAATTTACGCCAAATTTTTCATGGACATTCAAAATTTAAACGTGAATATCTCCGCGGATATCGATGCTACAGAAATAATTTATATATCATCTTGTAGCCAAGAACCAGGACTTTCGATCCATCATAGAAATACCTTAGTAGAAAATCGCTTCCCGTCTCGTAAATTGTGACCAAAGTCAAAAAAATTGAATTTTTAGGTGTAAATTTTCGTGGATCCCATTTGTGTTATGGAAATTTACGTCCCAAAAAATTTCCTAATGAAGAATAAATTTATGATATCTGAAGTATCAAATACAGAGTTGTGGAGAGAAGAATACTATGAGGAAGGTATAGATTTGATTATTACAGTGCATAGAATATATGGTCAAGTCATTAAGATAGACTATCAGGTGGGAAATAAGAATAAGAAAAATTATGTTTCAATAATTCCATTGAATTTATTTTATTTAATAATAAATAATAAAGAGATTATCTAATACAATGAGCACATAATAATATTGTGTACTTGAATAAAATAATTAAAATACTATTTATCTAATATTATTATTTTAGTATCATGTATTCGATATTTAAGACAATATTGGAAACCTGAGATAATAATAAAATTATCTCACACCTATCACTTTTATATCAGGCACATGATAAAATTTACAAAATTAATTATTGGGTACTTAGTAATAATCAATTATATTGAGTACCCGATATGTTTATTCTTCTTTAATAGGTGTCCGATAGGTACCCGATATTATAAATATATTGGGTATCCAATAGGTGTCCGATAAATATCCAATATTTAAATTTTGACTTGTGTTTTCTAACAATACTAATATCAAATATTTGAAACTTGGATTTGTCAAATCAGATAATTTACTTTTAATTTTTAATAGTTCAATATATATATTTCTTCGTGAAGACAAGATATTTATAGTAATGAATTTTAAAGAGTAAGGACTTTTTACATTTAACTCTTGATACCTGTCATATCTTTTCAGTACCTTATATATAGTGTTAGTACTGACATTGATTTTTCATTTATTTTCAGAGATTTTTGAAGTCTATGGCTGTTGATACTTTATTTGTCATAATTTAATATATAAGTATCTGTTTATTTCATTCTTCCAAAATCTGTTTTCTTCTTTGGTCCTTTTTATTTCCTATTTGTTTAGTTTCTTCACACTTTTTTTTTAATTGTAATATAGAAGTATAGTCAACATTTTCTAGCTTTTTGACTACTTCACATAAACTAAATCTTATTTTAAGTAAAGTGATCACATGATGTTGTTTTTCAATAGTTAATGTTATAGTTTATTAAAAAAAGAAAAAGTTTTTTTAGATGAAATTAATAAACATGATATGAAAAATATTTTATATTATTAGAGTTTTTTATTAATTATTATTTTTTTTAAAAAAAAATTATTAAAGTTTTTTGTTTAAAAAAAGTACGAACATTAATATACCAAGGATTTTTTTATTTACCATTATTAATTAATTAATCAATTATAATCTAGATCATGTGATAATTAATTAGAATAAATAATCTTAAGATTTATTAATAAAATTATTTTAAATATTTGTAATATAATAAAAATTTTATATATTACATAAAATAAATTTAATTTTACTGTAATATATTTATTTTGGAAATTACTGTATGTAGGAATGTTTCCTTAATAATTATAATTTCTAATATTAATTTATCAATTTAAATGTTAATTTTGATTTAATATTGAATTATTTAATATTAATTATATTAATAAATCAAAAATTATTTTAAATAAAAATATTATCAAATTAATTTTAATATTAAAATTTTAAATATATATGACTTTGTTCACGATTTGCAAGGTACAGAGAGATTTTCTACTAAGGTATTTCTTAGATAGATAAATCGGTATCATTCTTAGCTACAAAATGATATATATTTCATCTTTATAACCTTGATATTTGTAGAGATCGCTCAGTTTAAAGAAAAAAAATTGTGAAAAAATCATGTAAAAATTTGTACAAATTTGTATGAACTTTTTCTATTTTTTTTTAAACTTAGTAATTTTTATAAATATTGAGGTTACAGTAATAAAATATATATCATTTTATAGTTAAGAATGATGTCAATTTATCTATTATATAAATACCTAGTAGAAAACCTTTTTATATCTTGTAAATTGTAAGTAAAGTTGAAAAAATAGAAAAAAATATACAAAAATCTTGTGCAAGTGTTGAAATTTGTACAAATTTTCATCTAATAAAATTTCTTGATAAAGTAAATGTTTGTATTTTTTAAATAAAATATTTATTTAACACACAATTTTGATATTAATTAGTAAATAACAAAGTTTATTATATAACATAATTTTTTTTAAAAAAATAATCAAATAATCATGAATAATTGTCAAATAATCATTGAATAATTGTGAATAATTGTCAAATAATCATTGAATAATCGTGAATAATTGTCAAATAATCATCAAATAATCACTGAATAATTGCTGAATAATCATGAATAATCATCAAATAGTTATGAATAATTATTAAATAATCATTAAATAATTATCAAATAATTATAAATAATTAATAATTATTTGTAATTATTCATTAATTATTTATAATGATTAATTGAATTTAAATATAGATCCGATTCCTAATTTTATTTTTAACTTTATAACAAGTGAAACAAGAATAAAACAATTTTAGAAAAGTATAAATCTTTTATATATAATCTGGAAGTTTAATAAATTTTAGTTAATTTAAATTAAGATTATAAAACTATTAAATAAATCAATATTACATTCATGTAATTTATATATTTATAATATTTTAATTATAACTTAATATAAATATATTTAATTTGAATGAAATAACTATCAAAATATAATCTTAATAAAATAAATTTAATGGTTTATAATTTGTTAAAATTAAATTACAGGTTAGTGAAATTACTTTATATAACATGAAAAATTATAATAGATTTTATTTATTGAAATATCTAATGATAGTAAAGAAGTCCAATTTTATACTAGTTGAATAATCAAAAATTGATAATTATAAAGTTAGCTAAAATTAGTTATCTAATTTGCAAATTGTCTGAAATCAGTTATCAGATTTGTAATAATGATTTATTTAAATTATTTTAAAAATAAAAATGAAAAAAATCAATTATTTTTACTTTTTTATCAATAAAATATTAAAAACATTATTAAGTAAACCTATAGCTAAGAAAGTAAAATATCTACTAAAAAAATTTTAAACCTAAAGCTCACAAATTAAAGAAAAATGAATATTTAAATTTTGTCAATCTGTTCAAAATTTAAATATTCTTTATTCCTTTAATCTGTGAGGTTTGGTCTAAATTTTTTTAAATAGATGTATTTAGTTCTTAATTATAATTTTACTTAGTAAAGTTTTTAATATTTTACTAATTAAAAAAGTAAAATTATCAATTTTTTCATTTTCATTATCAAAAATCATCAAAAAAATCACCAGAAATCAGATGGTTGATTCATATATGCAACTTCCAAAATGTTTTGGCAAAATGGGTGTTTGAAAGTGAAAAATCTTTTCAATGAATAATTAATTTTTATATTGATTGTTGTCCAGAGTGTAGCATAGGACCTTATACTTTTAGGATTAGAGTGAAAATTGATCTCACATGATTCTTTTCCCACCACATGTCACATATTAATTATCATCATAATAATAAAACAATCATAAATAAATATAAATTATCAGATGAACACTAACAGGTTAAATTTTGCTCCAGGCTCAAAATGGTTTCCATTTTCTAGTTTAGATAAGTTTTACCATTAATTCTATTTTTGCAGAAGATGTCTCCTGATAATTTTGAGAAAGCAAAGATTAATCCAAACCAAACAAATTATAAGCAGCAAAAATTATTATAATAGCTTTGATAAATTTCAATAAACTTTTCATATTGGTATGCTTCGAGAATTGGCAAAAGTGGAACCAAATACATTGTTGCAGAAGAATGTATTTGTATATCAACTCAACAAAATAAGACTAACTTTTCAATAGAGTGTTATAGATTTTATATAGAAATTCAACTTTTAATAAAAAACATATTAAAAAAATCAATATTTTAACATAACAGAAATATTTTTTTATAATAATATAATTCAATTTTTGAAGGAATAAAATCACATGTACAGATACTTGAAAATCTTATCAGCACAATTTTTGCGGTAACCACAATGTGTAACCAATATGTTATCAGATACATGATATTTTTTACTCTCACCATTTGGGAATAAAAAAAATATTATTGGCCAATTTATATTATACGGAGATATCAAATTTATTATAACATGGTAAAATAATCCCCATCCCTAGTATCATTTTGATAATTTTCAATGTCAATACCTTTTTCAATAAAAATTGAAAAGGGATTAATAAGAGGAGATCCATTTATTGAAATAATTTTATCTCCTGGTTGTATTTTACGCATCTTCATCATTGTGGCTGCCGTAGGAAGTTTCGGACTAAACTTTGACTATATTTATATTTGGAATTTTTTAAAAATTTCAATAATAATAATAATAATAATAATAATAATAATAATAATAATAGTTTAGAATAAATAATAATTTCTTTTTTTTTTTAAAAAAAATGCAAACCTGAGTTTCGGTTATTTGAAGAACAGAGACGTCATTAGGATTACCATTTTCCTTATGTAGATACTTTGTTAATGAATTAGTCTTTGTTAATGGATTGGTATTGAACGTTTCCTGAATTGATGATAAGGAATGTAAACAATCGTATTTTACTAAAAATAAAATATGCAGTATATGTATGTATGTATGTATGTATATGTGTATATGTATAAATGAACCTTTATATTTCTTCTTGAAAAAGGGCTTCTCGGTATTTGAGCTAATTAATTAATCAATTAACAATAATCAACAATAAATTGACCAGTAATTATGCTAAATTATTATTTGATAGAATTCCTTACAAGGTTTCAGTGGAGTAGATCCACTGTGTATAGATCGATATAAGATTGGTTGATTAAATGGTTCTAAGAATGCATTAATAATAATAATAATAATAACAAATGAAATTTTTTCAATTTTCCTGTGAAAAAAAAAAGAAAAAGAAATATGCAATGAAACAATTATTATTTTTCCGAAATGCAACTTGTACAATAATTACAACAACAACAACAACTAGCAAAGAACTGTAACACTTCAGCGAACCCAGAATAAATTAAATTATCAATAAGTGAGAATAAAATTGAATAAAATAAGGATTCATTTATTTTATGCCTACTATTGATCTTTAAAACAATTTACTTTATTCTGGGTTCGCTGAGGTGTTACAGTTCTTTGTTAGTTGTAGTAGTAGTAGTTGTTGTTGTTGTTGTTGTTGTTGTTGTATTATTGTGCAAGTTGTTTTTCGGAAAAATAATAATCGACGTTAAATAATTTTTAAAGAACATATACAATAATTTCAAAGTTTTTATTAAAAAAAAAAATCTTTACTTGATATTTTTTTATGTTGCTCTTCATTAGTTTTTATTAAAAAAAAATCGTTATTTGGTATTTTTTTGAGTTGTTCTTCATTCTGCGATAATTTAAAATAACCCGATTTTCTATTATCAAAAAAAAAAAAAAATTAAAAATAAAAATAAAAATTCAAAAAGATTTTGTCAATAAAACTTATTATTATTTCCATTAGAATTCAAATAAGAATCCACTCATAAAAAAAATCAAATAAAATCCACTCATAAAAAAATTCCAATAGAATCCCCATAAAATCACCATAAAAATTCCCCATAAAATAAAACGATAACACCTTCTCTTGTTCGATTCAGCAATTGGAGTCACTTGAATACTATGCTTCCTACTTTTAATGACAAATTGCTTTTCGAAATACTCCTTTGGATCTGCATTATATATATTAATGAAATCCTCTATTGGTAATTGTCGAATTTCAAGAGGGATTTTATCAATATCGAAGTGACACTTTAAACGGGCGTTTTCTGCACGTTCTTCAGCGTCTTTCTTGAGTTTCGTAATTCGTAAGTCAACTATTTTTTGTCAAGTAAAACAGTTACAAGAGGGAAATAAGAGAGTATCAAGAGGGCAACAAAAGATTAATGAAAATATAACAAAAAAGTGATAAAAGAGTAAAAACGAAGAATAATAAGAATTAATTAAATCATTAACATGTACACTCTATATCCAAATTCTCTAATAAATTTTGTTTTTGTTCGGAAGTAATTTTTAGATCTTTAAATGCATTTTTATCAGCCAATGGAATTTTTTCCTTATGTTGTTCACCAAAACACGTCGTATTAATGTCCATTATTATTGATAATAATAAATTAGAACTAGACTCTAAGAACCTTTATTAAAAAAAACTCTATTGTCGCGTAAAAACGGGAAATATTTTTATTTATCAATTTTATCAATCATATGATTCAGATTTTAACAAATTAAGCACGTTTAGCACGTGAATTAATTTAGTACTCACTTGACGTTAACGACATCAACTTACATATATATATATATAGTGAGAGTTTTAGATTGTTAGATCATTAAGATGACAACTGCTGCTAGACCAACCTTTGATCCTGCTCGAGGTTCCGATAGTAAAGCACCAACTTTACAATATAGTTCTCGAGATCTTGCGGCTCATACAAAACTTAAATACAGACAACCCGGACAAACTACAAGAGAAGATCTTGAAAATACAGATCTTAGAGAAGAACTTTTGAAAGCTGAAAGAGAACATTTTGGGAAAAAACAAGGTTTACTAAATTCCGGAGAACAAGAATATGCCGATGTTCGACTTCGTATAATGCAAGAAGCTGCGACTTTAGATAAAGACGATAGTGACGATGATAGTGAGGAAGATGGTGAAAGGTATTTGCAAACCTTTTAATTTTATTTAAATTTTATTTAATTTATTCATTTATTATTTATTAGATTTCTAGATATTAATTTACACTTTTTTTTTTTTTTTGATATAAATTGATATATTATATTATATTATATTATATTATATTATATTATTATTATATTATATTATATTATATTATTATATTATATTATATTATATTATTATTATTATATTATTATTATTATTACTATTATTATTATCATTATTATTATTATTATTATTATTATTATCAGCGAGGAAGAGGAAGAAGACGACGATGATACAGTTGCATTAGTAGCCGAGTTAGAAAAAATTAAAAGGGAACGTGCGGAAGAAAAAGAAAGACAAGTAAAATATCATTTCGATTATAGCATTTTAATTATCACATTTGATTATAAAAATTAAATTGTAATTTTTATTAAGGAAATGGATGCGTTAGAAGCAGAAGAACGAGAAAAACGTGAAGCTGCTTTGGCAGGAAATCCCTTGTTAAATAAGGATTTTAGTGTCAAACGAAGGTAAATTATTCAACTGTTTCAGAAATTATTATTGAAATAATTATTTGACAACAAAAAAAAAATCGGTAATAACAGAATATTTTATAATTCAGATGGGATGATGATGTAATTTTCAAGAATCAAGCTCGAGGAGTAGAAGATAAACCTAAAAAAAGATTTATAAACGATACATTACGTAGCGATTTTCATCGAAAATTTATGAATAAATATGTGAAATAATTCGTGAAATATAACAATAATAACAATAATATATAATTCAGTTGATATTGGTATATATTTCATTTTATTTCTTTTATTTCATAAAAATCAATATTTTCAAATACAATAATTTTGATTGTATGAATAGTTAATATATTATTTATATTATTTATTTATTTATTAATTTTTATTTATTTCAACAAAAGGAAAGAAAAAAAAAAAGATAATAATATTATATTGGTTTAGGATCCAGATAATCCAAAAGAGAAGACCAATTAAGTTTGTTTAAAAAAAAAAAAGCGATCAATAAATTGGGATCTTCCGAGATTATGTACGATGTAAATCAAATAATAGATTGTATTAGATAATGTTAGACAGTAAATGGATAGTGTTATTAGATAATGAAGATAATAATAGACTACTGTAATAATGGAAATAATGGATAATGTAAAGGAAACAGAATATTAGCTAATATCAGCTGATAATCACGAGATAAATCATAATTACCAAATAAATTAAATCTAAATTTATATCTTTTTCTTTCGGATATTTCATCGGTCCGTTTAAGCGCACGTTAAAGAAAGTTAATCTGTATAATGTGAGTACAAATTCTATAAATGCCAATTGTATAAAATTTGATAAATTGATTTATATGAAATCCGTGACAATTTAACGCCCCTTCGTTTACATCTTTATTTTACCGGGACATAAAAAAAAAAAAAAACTAATAATAGAATAATAATATAAATACCATTCTATACATTCATACATATTATACATATTTATACATCAATTGATAAACTAAAATAAACTTATAGAACTTTTAAAATCCGCGGAATACTTCATTCATGATGCATTACTTATATCTGGTAAATACAAAATTTAATGTACTGTATTGGACTCCTTTTCTGTAAGGTAACGTTGGATAATCCGCAGAGTAGATACTTTCTAATATTCCAGTCATTTTCGTCTGTTTCTTCTTCTATTATTTTTACCCATCTAAAGTTGAACTTTATTCTTTACACTTTACAATTAGCTTGGTTGTCATCTTCTTTCTTTCGTATTTTTTAGAGTTATTCTTCTCCCTTCATCTCAACCGATTTGAAACTGAGTTTCTTAACAGATTTGTTCACACAAATAACCCCTATAAAAAAAATATATATCCATCTTTTGGCATTCTTATTATTCTTATTCACTATCTTTCCCTTACCAAAATATATTACAACTAACAAAAAAAAAAAAAATCTATAGACATTTTCGTTATTAAAAATATATTTCCATTTATTTGAGTATGATGTCAGCGAATCATCACCCCCATATGCAAAATACTCTGTCCAATAATTCGCATAGTTTACACTCCTCAAATGTTGTAGGTGTACACTATAAAGTTGGGAAAAAAATTGGAGAGGGAAGTTTTGGTGTCATCTTTGAAGGTAAATCTGTTATATTTTCTTATAAGTCTTTTTTTTTTCGTCTGCGCTACGAATGTGAGATTTTTATTTTTATTTTTTTCTCGGTTATGAATTCATTTTGGTTAATTCATTAAAATAGTATTTGAACACATCCATCAGGGTTCTTTCAAAGATTTCATTTAATATTTCTTTTGACTCTTTACACTTTTACTTTACTTTTTACTTCTTAACAATAATAAATATACTTATTAATACTTATTATATATTATCTATCTCACAAGTTAATTACTGGCATTCTTATTAATTTTTGTGCGCTTTCCGATTTTTTGTATTTTTCCGAAATTTTGTTTTATTTACCAATTTTTTTTTTTTGCCACAAATTCATATTTTTTCAATTTTCCCTATTTTCATAAGACTAAAAAAATTTTTTTTTTGTTACCCCTGGATCAATAAAACATCATTTAATGGCATTAATAACATCGATAATAATAATTCAAAATAACCTCGCGCATAAAAAAAAAAAAAAGGCAGACAAATTTTTTTAATTTTCTAATAATAATAATTTTTTTTTTTTCAATTCGGTTTCTCAGGAACTAATTTGTTAAATAATCAACAAGTTGCCATAAAATTCGTACGTTGTAAAATCATCTTTCCTTACTGTTAGTAAATATTTTTTTTATGTTGATCAGAATGAAAGTTATTTATCGGTTGAATTATAAATACTTTTTTTTTTAAAAAAAAAAAAAAAAAACAGGAACCTCGGAAGAGTGATGCTCCTCAACTTCGAGACGAATATCGAACATACAAAATTTTGGCGGGATCATGTAAGTGCATTATATATATATATAATAAAATATTATTAATAATTTCTTGATTCAATTCTAATGATTTTACGTTCATTTAACATTCATTCGTTTACAGTGGGAATACCCAATGTATACTATTTTGGACAAGAGGGTTTACATAACATACTGGTTGTGGATCTTCTTGGGCCTAGTCTTGAAGATTTGTTTGATATGTGTGGAAGAAAGTTTAGTATCAAAACAGTGGTTATGGTAGCCAAGCAAATGGTAAGGAATTTTAATATAACGTCATTAATTAAATTTTCAAAAAAAAAAAAAATTTTCTACCGACCACACACATCATATATTCTTTGTCATATTCATCTTTCTTTTTTTATTTATTTTGTGATTGATTATTAGCTTACAAGGGTTCAAACCATTCACGAGAAGAATCTCATTTATCGTGATATCAAACCGGATAATTTTTTGATTGGTCGTCCGCTATCAAAAGGTGCCAATTTAGTTTATGTTGTTGATTTTGGTATGGCCAAACAATATCGTGACCCAAAAACGAAACAACATATTCCATATCGAGAAAGAAAAAGTTTAAGTGGAACAGCTAGATACATGAGTATTAATACTCATCTGGGAAGAGGTTATTATTATTATAATTATTATTATTATTTACAAAAGATATTTTTATTTATTTGATAATCATTTATGACAAAAAATGATATTTTTAAATTTTAGAACAATCGCGCCGTGATGATCTAGAAGCTCTCGGTCATGTATTTATGTACTTTTTAAGAGGGGGTCTACCATGGCAAGGGCTTAAGGCAGCAACAAATAAACAAAAATATGAAAAAATTGGAGAAAAAAAACAATCAACACCCATTAGAGAACTCTGCGACGGATTTCCAGGTTAGTAATAGTAATAGTTAAAAGTTTATTTGAAATTAAAAATTTTGTATATATAATATTTTAAAATATTATTCAATATTAATAATTTCATTCTTTTTGTTGAATTTTCTAGAAGAATTTGGTATTTACCTTAGCTATGTTCGTAAACTTGGTTTTGAAGATAATCCTGATTATGATTACTTGAGGGAACTTTTTACCAAGATTTTGAAAAATTCTAATGAGACAGAAGATGGCATTTATGATTGGATGTTATTAAATGCTGGAAAAGGATGGGAAGCAAGTTCGGTAAGAATTTTTTTATCAATAATATTTATTATTAAAAAAATGTTTATGGTCTTAGAAATGAAATATGAATAATATTTCATAAACTTTTTCTTTTTATTATCATCATTATTATTTTGTTCTCCATCGTCTTATCGCTTTTTGGTCTGTGCTATACACACATCATTAGCGGAAAGATGACGGCGCACTGAATCCTGACACTAACACCCGCCTAACACTTCACGGCACTTCCTCTCAGCAATATAGTTCGAACGCAGGAATTCATCAACCTTCTCATCATCACCCTCATCATGATCCACGTATTCGACGTTCATCATTAAATCGTGGACCATCTACAAATCGACATCTTAATCCACAAACACCCGCTGCAATAGCTGTAACCAAACCAAGTCGACAAACAGTAAAACCTAAACCTAATAATCCAGTTATGAATTCAGGAGATGATATAAATTATCCAGGACGTGCCGGTATCGGTATGAATGGAGGTAATGGTGGAAATGCGCCAGGTGGTCAGGGAAATAATGGTGCAGATTCAAACTCTCATCGGAGACGAGGAATTTGGCAAAAGTTTATTGGAGTTATTACTTGTAGTATGTGTAGCTAAGTTTTTTTATTATTATTATTATTTTTATCTTTTATCTTTTATATGAAGAATGTTTCACGTGGTGATTCATATACACGAAAATTTATTGTTGTTGGTTTTAAAGGGATAAAGAAGACTTATAATATTATTTAATGGTATTATGTACAATTTCAATCATGTGTATTCTTAGTGTTCTTTGGGATTCTATAGAATTTTATATATCATTCTTTTTTTTTTTGAATTTTATTATTTCAAAACTATTTCTTTTTTTTTTAAAAAAAACACTTGATTTATTTCTAATTCTCATGTGATCTTTTCTTTTTTTTTTTTTTTTTTGTAATAATTCTTTATATATACATATATATATATATTCTCTCTCCCCCATCCGGTCATCAATCCCTCTCACTCTCCCTCTCTCCCAAAAAAAAAAAATTTATAGGTTGACAACGAAAACTTTCCAACAAATTTTCCAAAGCCAAATCAAGAAAACAAAATTATTTCTGAGATCCTTTAATTGTTATTATAATTTTATATATAATAATAATTTCATCTGAAAATTTTTTATAATTTATATATTAATATTAAATGTTAATATCATTTCTTAGATCTAAAAATTCATAAAAAATATATATATATTACATACCTATTCTCTTTTAATTGGTAAAAAATATTTTTTCCTTAATATATACAACAACCCATTTTTCCTTTTTTATATATATTTTCTTTGAGGGATTAGGTTTTTTTGAGAGATTTTATCTTTTGTTCAACTTAGAGAAATTACAAAAAAAAAAAAAAAAACCCCAAAAACTATAAACTTGTGAGCTACACACAACAACAACAACAACAATTGTACCATGGTGTTTTTATTTTTTATTTGTGTTCCTTTCTTTATTATTAGTTTTTTTTTCTTTTAAATAAGTTTGTGTAATGTTTACATACTAATAGATTTGAATTTTTTTCTTTATTTTAAATTTATTTTCCTTTTATTATTATTATTATTATTATATTTTTTTTTCTATTTTTAATATTTTTTTTCTCGTCGGGGTTGGAGAAGTGAGAATTGTATTGTGTGATAAGTAAGACAAAAAAAAAGTAATGGGGATTAAAAAAAAACAAACAAAAAACTAATTGGATTATTATTATAAAAAAAAAAAAGTATTCTTCAATTATTATTATTTTCAGGTAATAATATAGCATTCAAGAGCATTCAGTATTACGTGTAAATATTGTACGTTAATAAGAGCAATAAAATTGTTAAATTCAAAGGATAGTTTTTGATTTACAATTATTTTATTTATTTACACACAATTTTCACAATTTTCACAATTTTCACAATTTTTTTTTAGTTAACTTTTCTTTTCTTTTATATATTCTAATCTTAATTTATCGAGTTCTTCTTGGGTTGTACTATTAAAAAAAATGACATCATATAAAGAAAGAAAAAAAGAAAGAAGCTGGTTTTCTTAATTTTTTTAAAATTCCTTTTTTTTTTTTTTTATTAATAAATAGATACAAAAAAAATAAATAGACAAAACAAAAAAAAATAATATCCTACAATTTTTTCAAACACAAATTCATCGTTTTTAGTTGTTTTTTACATGTCCACATTACTGAAAAAACTTTACCGTTAGTGCACTCCACAAAATCTAAAAGGGCTTTGAAATTAGGGTGGCTCGGAAAATAAAAAAATTTCAAAGAAAAAAAAAAAAAAAGGAAAGGAAAAATTCAAGGGAATAAAAAAAAAAGAAGTTCAATTATTATTATTATTATTATTGACCGTACCACGAACTTTATCATCGCAATTTATTCTTGCGTTTTGTTTCAATTTATCATAAAGTTTTTCCTCTTCAACGCGTGTTAAAATACTCATTTTAAAAAAAAAAAATTTTGCAACCCCGTACAGAAATATAAAAAAAACAGGTAATAAACATGTATTTATTTATTAAACATGTATTTATTTATTCTTGTTATTTTTGTATTATAATATGATGTTGATGGATGGTGTAACAAGTTACATTTATTTCGCTGTTACTAAAAAATAAATAAATTTTATATATCTTATGTAATAATATGATATTTTGATTAAGAGAAAAATTAAAAATTTTTGATCTTACCCCAAGATTTACGATCCATGGGACATTGTCCACGACTACCTTCTGTCGCAAGCCATCTTAACAAACAATGCATATGAAATACATGAGAACACTCACCCCAAACTATATCAAAAAAAAAAAAATATTAAATATAATATAATTCCATATTATTTATAAATTGATGGATAGATAGATATAAATGATTGGATATAAATGATTAATAAGATATAAATATATATTTTTTTACTTAGAGGACAATCGTCTCCTGGAGTTTTACAAGTAGAGCAACAACCATCAAAAGCGACGCGACAAATACCACAAACTTCTTCGTTAGGTACGTCCCATTTCCAAATGGCTACACTGTTCCAACTTAAGTTATTAAAATACTTTTTATTATTACTCTTTGTATATTTATATTTATATATATATGTACATTATCTATAATATAAATTAAAAATAAAATACCTTTTGATTTTTACTTTCATAATTATTTAAGTTATTTTGATATGATAATTTGCTAAATAAAGAAAATATTTTTATCTATTTTATTTATTAATTGATGTCACGGGATAATCTATTTATTATTGGTGTGATTTATATTATTTATTATTTATTTATTATTTATTTATTTATTTATTTATTGATGATTTTTTTTTTTTTTGCGGATGATTTTTTTGCATCAATTTTACCTTTCGTAACATCAATCGTTGATAAGATAGGAATAGGTAGTAAGACAAGGAAGAATAACAAAACAAATCCAAATCTGATTTCATGGGTAATGTCTTTTTTTTTTCATAGAAAAAATAATAATAAATAATAAAAATCGTTAATAAAATTTTATATATGGAGATATTGAGATAGATAGATAGATATATATATATATATATATTTACCAGTAATAATTGCTACTAAAGTTGGACCTAACCAACTTGATCCTTTATCAGTTACCGCATATAAAGCGAAGAATTCAGTTTCTCGACCTTTTGGTACAAATTCACCAAATAAAGTTCTACAATAACCTTGAATAGGTCCAATTACCAAACCAAACCAAATAGCCAAAAAATATAATTCCGTTTGTGATTTTAATCCTCCAAATGGTAAAAAAAATCCCAAACATCCATAAATTGGTATAAATAATAACATAATGGTTAATAATATAATCATTTGTTTGGTTTGAAATTTATGAAAAAATGATCGTCTTTGTAATTTGGGAAATATTATGGTTCCCAATAATCCAGCTATTGGAACTATTAAAGTTATTATTATGAGACCTGCATTTTCAAAATTTAATGTTGTTTTGGCAAATAATAAAGCAACTGAAGATATTGTGGTATATCCTATAAATATATGTATATTGTAAGAATTGTAAGATGATTATTATTATATATAAATAGATGTAATTATAAATAAATGTAAGATGATGATGATTATTATTATTATAAATATATGTAATTTTATTATTATAATTATAAATATATATATTATTATTAATATTATTATTATTATTAATATTAATATTATTATAATTAGAAGAAAAAATACCGTCAGATATAAAAAACCAAGCCATCAAAAATCTAAATGTCATTTTTAATTCTTTTGCGTGATTTATAGTTTTCCATAATCTTTGCCATGAAAAAAATATATAATCGATCCATCTTAATTTCCTAACTTTTTCTATTTCTTCTATTAATTCTGCTTCTATTAATTCTCCCTCACTTAATTCTCCCTCACTTAATTCTCCTCCTCTTAATTCTCCTCCTCTTACTATTGCTACTTCTTCTTCATCTTTAAATAATGCTGATGTAAATAATGGAGGTCCAGGTCTAGGTTGTAACCATTTTGCCACTAATATAGAAAATATGAACCACCAAGCACCTGATAAAAATATTCCAATTTGCAAACTAAATATTGAAGATTTTAAATGAAAAGCAATAATTAAACAAATTATTAAAAGAATGATTCCTCCAAAATATCCTGAAGCTATTCCTCTAGAAGAAATATGAGTAGAGATAGAATCTTGGGTTTTTGTTAAATCTTCTAAAAGTTTATTTAATTTGGGATCTTCTGATACTTCTTCTTCCTCAACTAATAATAAAAGGCTATTGGTACTTGATGAACTTTGTAAAATTAAATGACTTCTTTCATCATCCTCAATATTATTATTATTATTATTATTATTATTATTATTATTGTTTTTGTTGTCATAATTATTATAGTTATTATTATTGTTGTTGTTATAATTATTATTATTATTATTATCTAAAATATTATTGTCATCTTTTAAAATATTATTATTTTCATCTTTTAAAATATTATTGTCATCTTCTAAAATATTATTATTGTCATCTTCTAAATTATTATTATTGTCATCTTCTAAAATATTATTATTTTCATCTTCTAAAATATTATTACCCTTTTTCTTCTTTGTCTTATTAACATATGATTTTATCTTTTGAGTAATTTTTATAACATCTGGATGATTTCTAACTAAGACTGGTAAAAATCCATTAAAACAAACGAACGCAGATCCAAAACAAACATTTCCCATGATAGCAAGAATCGCTACCAACAAAAAGATATTAGATTGAACGAATAAAAATAGCATGGCGGAAATACTTCCCACAAAAGCAAAACTCAATAATAAAATTTTACGCATATTTTCATGATCCGAAATTGATCCAATTGATATGGCCGTGATCGCTTGTAATATGACACTAATCGAAAATGCATATAAACTAAATGATGCGGTATCAATCCACATGATATTAAACAAATTTACGACGCAACGAATTTTTTCGGAAGATTGAAGTGTCAAGGTGGCATTTTTACAAGGTGTTGTATAATCAGTATTTAATACTCCTTCTTGAGATGAAAAATTTTCTAAAATAACTGGTATAAAACTTGATATTGATACTATTGCATAAACTTCACACGCAAAAGAATATAGATACCTATTTAATAAATGAAATAATATTAAATATAAATTGATTAAATAATTATTTGACAAAAATTTGATATTTTTACCATGCATATAATTCTTTTTTACTCAAAATAGGTTCTTCTATTTCTTGAATTTCAGAAAGTTCATCATTATCCAACTCTATTTCTGTATCAGATTCTGGAGTCATCCTTTAGAAAAAGGAAATCGTAATCAATTTTAATCAATTTTAATCAAATTTTAATCATTTCTAATCACTTGGTGTAACCAAACATAAAAGGAAAAATAAATATTAACGAAAAGTTTCTGGCTTCAGGAAAAAAAAAAAGAAAAAGTACGTTATATCCAGTATTTTCACAATATTATTTATTTTTTCTTTTTTTTTTTAAAAAAATGTTTTTTATTTTTTTTTGAGTTCCAACGAACAAGCTGTTATTTACTTTTTCAGTGACTACAGATTTGAATCAACTTCGTTTGTGGTTACGTAAGACTCTGGCTAAGGAAAATGTAATTATTTTATTTAATTTTAAATCAATTTAAATAAATTATAAAAATAAATTAAAATCAGTTTGAATATATATATATATATTGTAGTATGCTCATCCTGATCGAGTGTTTCGCGACGTCGATGCTTGCTTGGGAGTTTTCAAAGCTCTCACTCCACAAACCGACACATATAGTACGTAGTTACAATTTTTTTTTTTCTACAAACCTATTTTATTACTTTAATAATACTACTAAATAATACTGGAGTTCAATGATCGAGAATTGAATTTGAATTTGAATCAAATCGTGAAATTAAATGAGGATTAAAATAGAATAAGAAAGAAAGAAATAAATTAAATGATGATTAAAAAGAAGAATAATAATAATAAATAAATAAAATAGATTAAAATAATGAATTGAAAAAAAAAGTATTGAATAAAATTCTCACAATAGACATCATTGTGATTTCCTCTCCTTCAAAGCCTATGACGATGGAAAATCTAAAGTTTTATTATGTCTACATGGAACAATTCCCATAACATATCTATCAACATTATATAATATTCCGGTTGATTTTTGGATTCCCACGGAATATCCGAAAGTTCCACCCATCGCATTTGTGGTACCAACTTCTAGTATGTTGGTTAGACCTTCACGTAATGTTGATGTTAGTGGAAGATGTTATCATCCTTATTTACATCAATGGAGTACTCAATCTAATGATGTACGATTTATTTGATTTACTTGATTGATTTCAAGTTTTCGATTTTTTACTTTTTTTTTTTTTTTGATTTTTTGATTAATTAAATATATATTTATTTATATATATATATATATATATATATTGTGATTATAGGAATCAAATCTTATTACAATTTGTACAATTTTCCAAACTATTTTTGGACAAAATCCTCCAGTTTATACTAAATCCACAACTAATAATATTAATAGTAATAATAATAATAGTAGTAGTAGTAATAATAATATTAGTAATAATAACAACAACAATAACAATAATAATAAAAATGGAATTCAAAATTCTTTAACTCCGCCAATTACGATTTCCCGCTCTTTAAGACCAATAACTCCACCTCCTTTACCACCTCCGCCATATCAGCCAAATGCATCTTCAAAAAAAGTTATTAATAGTAGGCCAAGAAGTCTTAGTGGAACTTCATCATCAAATCAACGTTATAATATGATTCCGGTGAATGCAAATAAATATATTTATATTTTATAGATTTATTTATATGAAATCCTTATTAAAACATAATTCATTCTTCTTATTTTAATTAATATTTTTTTAGTCGACGAGTCCAGTACCACCACCACCGCCACCTCCACCTCCACATCCTCCTTCACAACAACAACAACAGCAGCAACAACAACCACCACCACCACCACAACAACCACAGAAGCCACAGAAACCACAAAAACATAAACAACAATTACAACAACTACAGCAGCAACAACAACAACAACAACAACAGAAACAACAACAACATCATTTACAACGAACATTTTCGAATCCAACCACAACTACTAATATACTTGATGATCCACCATTTCTTTTTACCCCACCTCCGGTCCCATTATTATCAACCACCCAAAATCCCGAATATTTAAAATTACAATCAGCAGTATATGATAAAGTTAAAAGTTGTTGTAATGAATATTTAGAAAGATCCGTACCAGAGTTACATAGAATAATGGCAATTGAAGAAGATCTTAGTAAAAGTCAAGAATTAATTAGACAAGAGAAATTTAATTTAATTGAATTAGAAAAAGTTTTAGATAATAAACTGAATTTTGTTAAAATGAAAATTACCGAAATTGATAAATTAATTGAACAAGCCAAGAATATTCCGGAAGTTTCGGTTGATGATATTTTATGTGGGACTACAATAGTTTATAATCAGTATGTAAATTTATTATTGATTTATTTTATATATATATATATATTGATAACATTTTATTTTTTTTTTTTTTAGATTATTTGAATTGGTAGCGGAAGATAATGCAACAGAGGATGCAATTTATTACTTGGGAAAAGCATTAAGTACAGAAAGGATAGATTTAAATACATACATGAAGGTCAATATTTATTAATTATATTTTATTCATATTTATTTATAAATTATACTTTATTAATGTGTGTGTATATATTATTATATATTTATTATTATAGAGCATTCGTACACTTGCGAGAGAACAATTCATGCATAGAGCATTAATTGGAAAAATACGAAGACAAACGATGTTAAATAAATCATAAAAATAATATATAGATATAAAATATTTAAAATATATACATATACATATAAATATATATGTATTTGTTGCACAATTTTGAATATTCATTATTTAATTATTATTATTCATTATTATAATTGTTTTTTATTATTATGATTATGTGGGAGATACAAAAAAAAACATCTATGATGTAATATTTGTAATATTATGTATAATTATTATTATCTTTTAAAATATAATTTATTCTATTTTTTTTATTTTATTTTATTTTATTTATTTTATTGAATGGGAATGTTAAGTTTTGTTGGTGGTGGAAGGATTAGGAATTCCAACAAATAAATATATATAATTTACAAATAATCCTGATGTGGCAAATCTAGAAAGATATCAATTAAAATTAAAATTAATGGTTGAATTAATGATTGAATTAATTAATTAAATATAAATAATTAATTACAATATACTGGTGATAGATGAAGTTCTTCCACTATTGGGATCCTGATCTGTTGCTTTCTCATTAGTCATAGAAATAATGGCAAAAACCAAAGATATCCATGAAGCCCATTTTATCTTTATTAATAATATATATAAAAAAAAAAGATGAATATATTATTTTAATTTTTTTTTTTTGACTTTGTATAAGTAGTATACCTTCATAATAAGACCAACAGTACCTAAATATATGATATGTGTGAGCGGGTTGTAAGCGAATTATATAAAGAATAAAGAACAAACAACAGACAATAAACAAAATTGAATTACTCACTCAATAAAAGTGAAAATATTCCAAAGAAATCAGGATCTATTTCATCTAATTCTTTTTTTGGATTATGGTATGGAACAATGTTGTTAGGACGCCTTGGGTCAGCAGTTGAAGACATATTCAAAGAGTTAATGTTACTTTTGCTCAGAATTATTTGACCAAAATATCACTTTATGTATTCAACCACTCGTATCACTTCATTTGTATCACTTTCCATATTACACCTGATTTCACTATAAAAAAAAAAAAAAAAAAAATTCGAGATCTTCCTCTTTTTAATAAAATCATTTTTAGTGGACATGGCTCCCAAAGTCGATCCAAGTGAAGTGAAGATTAGTACGTTAAAAAAAAAGATGATTAAATTACAATGATAGTAAATGATGATAACTTAATGAATGAATGAATGAAATGAATGATTATAATAATAATGAAAAAAATACATAATATCTTTATAATAGTTTATCTTCGAGCTACTGGAGGAGAAGTTGGAGCTTCCAGTGCGCTTGCCCCAAAAATTGGTCCACTGGGTTTGGTAATTATATAATTATATAATAAAAAATATATCAATTTAATTGTTCAATAATAATAATAATAATAATAATAATAATAATAATAATAATAATAATTCAGGCGCCCAAAAAAGTTGGAGAAGATATTGCCAAAGCAACCGCAGATTGGAAAGGTTTACGAGTGACCGTTCAATTAACCATTCAAAATCGTCAAGCTGCCGTTAGTGTTGTACCGAGTGCTTCGTCTTTAGTCATAAGAGCATTAAAGGAACCTCCGAGAGATCGTAAAAAAGAAAAAAATATAAAACATAGTGGAAATTTAACTTTGGCTGAAATTATTGACATTGCTCAAATCATGAGAACTAGATCTTATGCTAAAGATCTTAAAGGAACTGTTAAAGAGATCTTGGGAACTGCTAATAGTGTTGGATGTACTGTTGATGGGTAATTATTATATTATCTTTTATTACTTTATCTTTTATTATATGATTTTATTATATTATTTATTAATTATTTATTATCTTTATTTATTATTTATTATATTATCTTTATTTATTATTTATCATATTATTTATTATATTAATATTATTTATTATATTAATATTATTTATTATATTATCTTTATTATTATATTTGGTTTCTTTTTAAAAAAGTCAATCACCTAAAGATTTAAGTGATTCTATTGAATCAGGTGAAGTTGAAAGTAAGTTTGCACTCTATTATTACATTCTTTATACAATTCTTTATATAATAAAAATAATGATATTTCTTATTATTTTATTTACAGTTCCTGAAGAATGAATTTTTTTTTTTTAAAAAAAAAAAAGAATAAATTAAAGAATAATTAATTAATTAGAAATAAATAAATCAAAAGAAAAGAAGAATAATAATAATAAAATAATCTCTCAATCATTATTATTGTTTCTAGAAATTTGTCATTTTTTTTTGTTAAAAAGGAAAAAAAAAGTCAATGGATAATTTTTTACTTTACCGAAAAAATGAAATCTCAATAAAATCTCATGCAATTTTGTTTTTTTTTTTAAGAAAAAAAAAATTTTCAAATTAATTAAATTAAAATATTGTAGATCAATAGGTCAATACATGTTTTAAACAGTTTTATTTCAAGTTTTTTTATACAAGTTAAACTTTGTTAGACAATTAAGAATTAAAGAAGAGAATTAAAGAGAATCAAAAGAGATAAATTAATTAATAAGGAATAATTACTTGAGGATGATCAAATTTTCTAATCATTACATTTTCCTAATATATACACTAATATACACTAATATACAATATGGCATGGATATTTTATTTAAAAATAACCCATTTTAAAAATACCCCATTTTTTAACATCAATATTTATTTTTAGATTTAAAAATGATTTTAATATTTTAATATTGATTTGGCTTAAAAAAATGATATAAAATGTTTTAAAAAATGTTTTAGAATATTTACATTGGCTCAAAAATATATTTGAGGAGAATAATATGCTGATTAATTTCATTGAATTTTTTTTTTTTTTACAAGTTTTTTTTTTTTTTTTTTACATCTACAAAACGTTTTTTTATCCGTCGATCGATTATTTTTCCATCAACCAATCATCATGTTACAAAACGAATATCTTTCGATCTATTTAAAAAAAATTTTTTTTTTCTAAAATTTTTAAAAAAATTTATCATCTAATTTTTTTTCTTCTTCGAAAGAAAAGGAAAAAAAAATTATATATATTTATATAATTTATTATTATAATTAACCTATCATTAATTAATAGAAAAAATAATAAATCAATAAAATCATGTTGAAAAAACTGATAACTAGGCGGCCGTCTTTCCTAGTTTCATCAAATACCTCTACCTCTATTACTTCGAATACTTCCTCAACTTCTTCTTCTAACCTTATCACCAATTTTAACAAGTTGGCTAATATTGGTCCACTACTTTTTCGTCGAGGGATTGCTAGTAAAACCATATATATATCTAATGTCTCATACAGTTCTACCGAACAAGGACTTGAAGAGTTAGGTTCAAGATTTGGTAAAGTTGAGTCAGTTCGCATGCCAAGAGATTACGAAGGTAGAAGTCGTGGTTATGGCTTTATCGAATTTTCTCAAGAAGAAGAAGCTATCAGAGCTTTAGATGAACTTAATGGTATCGAATTTGAAGGTAGAGAACTAAGAGTAGCAGAAGCTCGTGGTGGTGCAGCTAATGGTAACGGTGGCGGCATGGGAATGTCACGTGAAGGTGGAGGTTATGGTGGTGGAGGTTTCGGAGGTGGTGGATATGGTGGCGGTGGTGGTTATGGTGGTGGAGGTTTCGGAGGTGGACGTGGTAGAGGAGGAGGTTTTGGAGGTGGTGGTAGATTTAATGATCGAGGTGATAGATTTGGTGGTGGAGATCGTTTTGGTGGAGGTGATCGATTTGGTGGAGGCCGCGGTGGCGGTCGTGGAGGTGGTGATTGGGAAAGAGGACCTCGTTCACGAGGATATGATGACGAATAAAACATTTATTATTTTTTCCTCCCCTTTTTGATGTAAGTATAACAGATAAAATTTTACGATTAATTAATTTTATTAGTATTATTTTTAATACCACGCATTGTCTTTTGATTAATAAAAAAAAAAATCCTTCATGGTCATTTTCTCTGTCATAATCAAGAAAATCAATTAATTTTATTAATTCTTTAGTTTCTTTTATTTTTACGAACAAAAAAAAAATGTTTTATGGACATTATTTTTTATACCAATATTATTCATGTAAAAATCTCTATAATCAATAAAAAAAAAATATATATATTCAAATTTTTCTTTACTCTATATTTATTGCACTTAAAATTTATATATATATAAAATAAGTTTATATGGTACAATATTTTCTAAGTAAAGTTGCTGCTAATCCCGGAGATCCACTTTCATTATAAATAAGTGATAAATTATATGCTGCTTCTTTTCTGAGATCTGTTTCATCTTCTCCGTTATCACCGTCATCATCCTATAATATTAAACAAAAAAAACAAATTTGTTTACAATAAATGCCATGACATGACTTAAACACAAATTGCTTGAATTGAATTTATCACAAATACAATTATTACCTTTTTTGGATTTATTACTTGCAACAAAGAAGGTAATTTAAGAGCTTTTTCATAATGCGATATTGCCAAATGAGTCAAACCTAAAATAAAATAAAATAAATAAATATATATATATATATATTTAATGATTTATTAAATCATTAAACAAAAATTAAAGATAATTTAAATAAACCTATGTGATGAAAAGCTCTGCCAAGATTATATTCAGCTTCTTGATTATTTGCTCTTATCTCAGCATAATTATACAAAAATGCAAATCCCTATTAAATTATAAATTTATAAATCAAATTTATTTTTGACCATCAAAATTTTAAAAACTAATTTTAAAATTTTCGCGTTCTGTAATTATTTTTACCTGAACAACTTGAATATGTCTATTATCTGATTGTCTTTGTAATGCCCGATGTAAATAAGCAAGTCCCATAGATAAACTGACAACTGGGTCCTTTGGCTTTCTGGCATATGCGCGTGCATAATATCCTAAGAGAAATTCAAATTTTTTTAAAACAAATCATTATCAATCCTTCTCTTTTTTTTAAAAAAAATAAATAAAATAATAATCACAAACCAATAGCTCCTATATAACTTCTAGCACAAGCCAGTATATGGCCATATAAAGCCAATAATGCTTCATTTTTCTTATCCGGGATTTCACGTCTTTTACCACCTTGCCTTGGATCATATCCACCAGTATCCATTAATTTAACTTGACGAAGAAAATATTTTTGTGAATTAGCAGCCGCATAACATGATAATGCATTAGTGCCACTAATATTCAAGCAATATTTAAGAAAAATATATTTAGATATAATAAATAAATAAATAAATTGGTTACTAAAATGATATGTTATATAAAACTTACCTAGACATGCCAGCATCATATAAATTATAAACTTTACTATTGAATGGCTTATTATTGCATAACCATCGTGAACTTTCACACACTACAAGATAATTTCTAGTGTATAAACCCCAAGCTATTTTTATTTATTTTTTTAAAAGAATATAAATGAATTATTATTATTATAAGAATATCAATAAATTTTTCCAAAAAGCTTTTTCCTCAATTACCTAATAGAAGCAATTTAAATCCAGTTTTCTGACGATCGTTGTGATAAAAAACATTGGCCCTAGACACTATTCTAAGTACGTCGAATGCTTCTTGTTCATGACCATTTTTGGTAGCCATATAAACGTACTAAAAATAATTATCACAGTAATTAATATCAGTAATAATATTTATGGTAATAATAATTAAACACAATTAAAATGAAGATCTAACCTGAACAAAAAATTCATACCATTGGTCAAACTTTAAACCTTGAAACTCGACCATTCTTTTACGGATTTCAGCTTCTATTTCTCCAATTTCACCATCTATAAAGTATATATTAATAAATTGTTTTAATATTTTTTAAATGATAAAAAAGAAATTATAAATATTTTTTTTAAAAAAAAAAAAAAAAATTCACAAACCAATTTGCCATTGTAATCTTTTTGCCATGGTTGTTGCTTGTTCTTCAAGAGCCGCATCATCACCATCATCTGCGATTTCTGACTTTAATGCCATTTGTCGACGCCAGCATCTTCGACGGTCAAAACCCTTATACGGTACCATCTAAAAGGAAGGTATGTGTGTTAAATTAATATAATTTTTTTTTTAAAAAAAACAGTGAATAATTCATGAATTATTTAATATATATAATTACTTTATCTCTAGGATAGAATGGTTTGTGATTTTTAAATTCCGCGAATAGAACTTTGGCACCTTCCAAAAATTCATTGGCCGACTGCTGATCTCCGTCCTTATATCGAGAATATAAAAGTTCAAGTCTATGATACTGGATTTGCAATTCCTTTTCTTTTTCCGCTTCCTTTCTCCTACGTTCTTCTTGAGCTTTTGCATAAGCGCTAGCTTTAGAAGATTCTGATATTTGATTTATTAAAGAACTATCGTGATCCATTGTCGTTATGGAATGATCCAAATTATCTTCTCCTGACTGGGGATTTATTGATGACAAATATTCTTGAGTAGTTTTGGCTTCATTGACAGCTCGTTGTTTCCTACGAACCTCGAGAACTTTTAAACAAAAAAAAAAAAAAGGTATTAATAACCATGTGATATCAAAATCCATTAAATTAAGTAATATACCAAATGAATGTGATATGTGAAATAGATAGATAGATAAACATTCACCTGAATTAACCATTTCCAAAGCTTTAGAATTTTCTCCTAAGGATTCATATGACTCAGCAAGTGCCATTTTAGCATCCAAATCATCTGGCATTTCTTCGACAACTAGAAAACAAAAATGATTCTGAGTGCATCAAAGAATAATTACAAATAAAAATTCTTGACTATCATTATTATTATTATTATTATCATTATTATTATTATTATTATTATTACCTGCACTAAAGTGTTCAACAGCACTTTCTAAATTTCCTAATTCACGATGACAAATCCCCATTCGCAGCCAAGCAGTTGGACTATCTGTCTAATAAATATATATGTACACATATAAAATGATAAAAAAAAAAATTATAAAGTCAATTCACTCTATTAAATAATTAAAACAAAAGAATAAATAAATAATAGAATTACCTTTTCATTTGATACAATAGCTTCATATATTCCCAATGCATCTTCATACAATCCCTTTTCAGCATATGTTTCCGCCACTTCATAATACAAATCTACATAATTTTCAACATCAAAAAATTCTAGATATGTAAAATGTAACTATTAAAAAAATATATATAAAATATATATAAATATATATAAATATATATAATATATATCTATATATCTTAATAAAAATAAATGAAAGAATTAAATATCTTTTTTACCTTTCCTTCTTCAAGTTGTTCAAGTTCAATTCTACATTGACCAGATTTAACTCTCAATTCTAAAGGTAACGGTGCATTTGTACCACCAATATTCACAACACCATTAAGCCGAGCAGATAATATAGAATTCTCTCTCCTATTTGCATTTTCATCTTCATCATACTCTCGATCATCTGCCACAGTATCCCACCATACTTCATCTTCTCTTCCTTGTAACCATCTCACCCCTCTCTTAATGAAATCGATCGCACTATTAAAATCATTAGCCAACATATATAATTCGGCCATGATGTTAATCTCGGAATATCCGAAACCTCCTTCAGAAACTGGATCTTCTGAAATTGGATTACTTCGATAATATTTATATGCATCATTAAAAAGTTCAATAGCTTGTGGGATCTCATTCAGTTGAACGTGAATTCTCGTAAGTTCTCTAATCACATTCATATCATATGGCATTTCTTTTAGTAGTCCTCTAAATCCATCCAATGCCTAACATGAGAATTCATAAATAAAATAAATTTAATTAAGAACAAAAAAAATTATTGAATTGATTATAAAAAAAAAGGAAATTAGATAAACAAACTTTTTTATATTCTCCAATTTCTGCATAAAGAATGCTTCTATCCCAAATAGCATCTTCATCATGATGATCACATCTAATTGCTTTGGAAAAGCAGTAAATAGCTTGGTGAATAGCATTTTGATTTCTAATAAAAAAAATGAAATAAAATATTTATTTATAATTCCATAATTAATGTAATTTCTAATAAAACATAAAATTAAATAAATTAAATTAAATAAAAATAAACTAAATAAAATAAACTAAATAAAATAAACTAAATAAAAATAAAAATAAACTGAATAAAATAAATAATCATACTTGCTTAATAATCCTAATCTTTTCCATAAGGAACCATCATTTGGGGTTAAATGAGCTGCAACCAAATAAAGTTGAAGTGCTTTTTCTGGACAACCCATCTCATCTTGTATTGTTCCAAGTGTAAACCATGCTATATGAATGTTTGGATCAATCTTCACCACTTCCTGAAGAACTTCAATGGCTTTAGGATAATCTTTATTAACATAATGTAAATTAGCCTCTCCTAATAAAGTTTTCAATGTAGGTGAAAGTGTACGAATTCTTGGTCCACTCTTTTTAATCATATTGAAAATTATTATTAAAAAGATTATGAACTGCTTTTATTAATTAAAATCTAATGCTTGCTTGTTTAGAAGACAATGATATTAAATACCCTGCTTCTTCGTATTTTTCCAATGCCACTAGTAATTCTTAAATCCCTATTAAATTCAGTCCATTCTTTTTCCAAATTTTGCCATAAATGTGGAAGTGAATCTCCTGTGGTAAGATCTTTACCAATTGCTTGCGCTTCAGATAAAAGTCGCCTAAAAATTTCATTTTTTTCATTAATATCGGATATATCAAAATAAGGATAAATAATTTGAATTAAAAGCATGTATACGCACCCAAAATTTTCTTCATCTTCTAATTCCATCAATTCTTCATCTTCGGCTTCCTGAATCATTGATGAATTTATATTCATAAAATCATCTGCCATATAATCGTCCAATCCTTCTTCCTCGTCTTCCTCCATTTCCATCTCATGATTTTCTTCTAAAACTTGTTGATTGAAATCAATATTTTCACTTTCATATATTTCGGAATTTTCATGTTGTTGAGCAGTAAGATCGTTTGCTAACAACTGCACAAGGTCAGCATCGTCATAAGTGTTATTAAGAAGATCTAGAAAGGTGGTTGGTAAATTAGAACCCTTTTCCATTTCGAACTTATCATTAAGTATGTGATCAGCGCGAACTTGGCATTTTAAACTGATCTCAGGCATGTTATCGCACGTGGCTTGTGCAGTGTAAAATGAATGTACATAACATAATCGCCCGCATCTAATTTTGTAGACTATTTTATTTGCAAATGTATGTATCACAGAATATACAATATATATCTATTTAAAGTTATGCAATATTAATGTATCAGAAATAAACTTGTAAAAATGATAAAATAAATTCACGCAATACGCATGCAAAAGTGAATATGAATACATATAATAAATCAGTCTAAATACATGATAAAAATGAAGATTATTCAGTTGAACTGCCTTCTTTTTGCCTTATTGATGTAATTACTGATGCATTATACAATAAAGATAAGTTTAGTAATTATTACATTTTGTAAAATCAATAAATACAACTTTGATATAAAGAAAGTGCATTTTTTTATAAAATCTCAAGTTCCCCTTTCATAGCACATAAAATGTGATAAAAATCTATGATAAGAGGATTAGGAATTGATGAAGATGTTTGGAAAGTTGATGGAATTCCATGAAAGAGGCATTCTAATTTAATATTAATCATATATTGTTGAATTTGGTCATTATTGTCAATGGTTTCAACTTCAAATTCCTTTAAATATATATATAAAAATATATTAAAATCATTTCCTATCAAATCTACTTTATATTAATTAAATAATAACATCATACCAGAATTGGTACTAAGTCTCCCTTTGGTGTCCTATTATCTGTGTAAAAATGCCATACCTGTCAAAAAATAATGATAACTAATTTAAAAAAATTATGTCTTCATATTATTATTACTTTAATTTTTGAAATAATTATATCAGATCATATCATTTCTAGATCCTTCAAACAAATCAATCCTTCAATTACTTTAGAACAAGTTTCATGAGTTCCTAAAGGCAATTTATAAATGTAAACATTTCCATTTATTCACTTCCAACTTCCACGTACATTAAAGAAGTCAGTTCGTTCTGTATATTTCTTCCAATATACATTACTTTTCAATAAATAGGGTAAACTTAACATTATGCATTCAAGAAGTGACAACAGATGTTAGTTATTGATTTAAATGAAGAAGGAAATCATGTAGGAAAATTACTTACGAAGCTTCTTTCCAATGTGCCTTGGGGCGAATATTTCCTTAAATCCACCATAATTCTTGAAATTTTGTCAAAATATTATTAGATTTAAAAAGTTGAATGGTAACATCACTAGGGACAATTTTAGAAAGTTAGCCAAAGAATTTATAATTGCACAACAATTTTTATTCACCTCGATATCTCGGTAATAGAGCTTACTGATATTCTTGAAATTGAACTGGCTCTTTAAGTTGAACCGTTGCACATGATTAATTAGAAAAATTAATCAAAGAATATTATGATCAAATATATTGTACAGGTTAATTAAATACCCACCTTACAAAAAAGATTCTGGTTTGTTGATTATAAATCTTTACCAAAAAATTCTTGGTTAATACGTATTTTTATACTGAAGTGTAAATCGTTAATAGATGAAGTAACGAAAAATTAAATATATATTAAATATTTGTCTGCAATTAGATATTATTTATATATTATGAGTTGATTTGCGGATCAAATGAAATAATAAATAATGGAATGAATAGCAAAATCACATCTATGGGAAAAAAAATCGGGAAAAGGTGTGAAGCTTCTGATGATTCAGAAGATAATTTGAAAAAGACATCATCAACACCAACCGATGAATTTTATGCAAATTCAGATAATTCAAAGGACCATTTGGATAAGACAACCAACGCATCCTCAGCATTAGTAAAGGAGCCAAGTGTTAAAAACGAAAAACAAAATATATTGCACATGATATAGCTAATGAGATTCTTAATGCGTATCATATTCGTGTTCTAGCAGGCGAGAAACTAATTTATAATGGTGTGAATCTACTGGACTTTATTTACCAAACAAATGAAGGTTCACTTTCTATTGGTGTTATAAATCTTTACAGTACTGATTGTACTAAAAATTTACCTGATGATTTTAAAAAAAATATATTTCAGATCAAATTCAAGAACCTGAAATTAAAGTTATAAGGAAAAACCATAGGCTTTACGTAAATTGTGAGGAAGAGGTTTTGCAATTCTTAGATAATTTTGAGGATGTAAATGATTTAGAATCTTTTGGAAAATGTTTATTCTAATGCATCCAATGACTTTATACCTTTTACATCAATTCTACTTCTTATATAAAAATGAAATATTACTTCAATCTATGTCTGAGTACGAATTCAACGCCTATGTATGGACACCTTTACTCAGAAATGCTTTTTGGGAAAAGCAGATATCAAATTAAATTATGGTGAATTAGCCTCAAAGTCATACAATAAACTAAAAGATATATTAAATATTGCAGGGAATGGTGCCTCAAAACTAGATGAAAAGGGTTTTTGAAATCATTAGGAACAGAAATATTGGTTCAGGAAGACGGAGTTCTTAACACACATGGAAAGAGACCTGGTGATCTTAAAAATTTGGAATACTGCACAAAAATTATTTTTAATTGTTTTATATTTTGCACTCCCTAATGCTTCAAAATGTAAAATTTCGGATATAGAAACATACAGTTTACAATCCATTGGGTAGGTTTCAACTTACTATCTCAGCATCAAAATATTTATTCGAAAATACCATTAATAACAATGGATTTGCAAGACGTTGAGGTACCTAAAACTGTAGAGGGATTCTCGGCGTTAATCAAGGCGATAAAAATTATTCTATCTTGGAAATCTAGGACAAGAAAAAATACAAATATGTTTTATGAAGTGATAAAAAAGGGAAATGGGCGCTTAAGAAACGGAGTTATTTTTACTCCGAAGAGATTTGTGAGGTTGTATCATAATCACAAATAAAAAATTATCAGGAATATTAAGTTGCATTTTTTATTTTATCTAATTTTTCGAAAACTAGTTATATGTGGGTCTTAGTAATATATTATCTTAGAACAATCCAATTCTCTTTGAATAATCTATACCAATAAAAAATCAAAATTTTCACAAAAGAAAATTTATTCAGATACAATTTTTTGCACATAATTATTAAAATATTCTAATTTGAACACAATTGATAGTTCATCAATACTTAAATATAATCATATGAAAATGAAAAATCAAAAGATTACATAATGGAGAGGTAAAATTAAATTAAATGAAATGTTCTAGTTTGTTTTTTGTTCAATACATAAATAAAATAATTTCTTTTATAAAGATAATTAATAAAGAATAATGTTTTTTTGTTTTAATAATTTCTTTTTTTTTAAAAAAAAAAAAATATAAAATAAAAAATTTTCATGACCGTGACTACCTCCTTAACCATCTTGACCATCTTTGACTAATGTCCCCCACAAAAAATATATATAATGTATATGTACTATTTCAATAACACATATACTTGACATTAATTTGATACTTTTTAATCTCTGTAAAAAAAAAATAAATTACAAAATAAATCATTATATAAATATAAAAAAAAAAACCAATTTTGAATGCTAAAAATTGTGAAAAATCTAAAGATTCAAAAAAAAAAAAATAATAATAAAAAATAACCAAATATATCTAGAATTTGGTGGATAAATATGTTTTTTACATAGTAATAATACTATGTGTATACATAATAATCGTTCAATTATTAAAATCCATGAGGAAACATGAATAAAAGTTTTGTTTCGTTAGAAAACTAAATAGATATATACATATCTATATTTAAATAATATTTAGATATCCAAATAAAGGTTACTGCTAATATATACATACACATACATACACACATATATATATATATATATATATATATATTAAAAAATAATTTTAAAAATTTTTTTGAAATTTAATAGAGCTTCGAAAATAATGAATTACTAATTAAAAAAAAAGTAGTATAATAATAGGTAGTAGTGAACGATTTAATAGATTAGAATAAAAATACAATTTATAAAGAATCGAAAAGTATGAAAAGTATTATATATATAAAAAAAAAGGTAACGAATAGTTTTCATACTTAACGAAAAAAAATGTACTATAATAATAAAATTTAAAACCCACTGGAATATTATGAAATTCTCTATTCTTGTCCAAATCCTACAGTCTCTTCAACCGCTAACGTTAATTTGCCTACCAATCTTTTTTGAAAAAGGAAAAAAAAGATTCGTGGTTAATAAAAAAAAAAGTAAAAATAGAAAAGCATTAAATTTTAAATTTTAGTTCCTTACGCTTCATAATTCTTGTATGGAGGCAGGTCAATACGATTAAAGCTACAAATAAAAATTTTTATCAATAAATAAATAAATATTTAATTAATTAAAAAAAAAAAAAAGAAGTCTTATACATACCAAGTATGACTCTTTGGCAGTTGAGAAACATCACCAGCCTTTTCGATAGTAAATCGTCGAGGTCCATCACTACCTTGCAAATCTTTGAATCCGTTAACAGGGATACGCGATGTACCAGTGGTAAATTGTAGTAAACGAGATTTCTTTTCGGAATCCCATGATCTTACACACTATAATAATGAAAATTATTATATTATTTTATATTATAAATTTTATGGAGATAAAAAAGAAAAGAAAATAATGAATTTCAAAAATAATACCAACCTTCCAGAACCACTGTATGACATCATCTGATTCTGTATAACCTCGATAATCTGTGTGTTTCTTCCAATCATCGACGTCAATTTCCGCGATACCTCCAATAAGTAACTGGAATAATAATGGATAATTTGTTTCAATCATGGTATTTTCCAAATCCAATATGCCATGGAATCTTCCTGCGTAGTGATTTATTAACGAACTAGTACAACACTCGTGTCGCCTATATACTATAATAATTTTTAAAAATAATTTTTTCCCTAACCTCTAATTCACGCTCATCGAACACAGATATCAAGTCTTGCGGTATTAATTGATTAAAGCCTTCCATAAAGGCCTTAAATTGTTCTTCAACTCGCTTAGAAACTCGCCATTCGGTAATAAGACTAATATGTAAAAATAAAATAAATTCATCAATATCTTTTAAAGAAAAAAAAAGAAAAAAAAATGTAATAATTAAAGTGTTCAAAGGAAACGAATGGGAGATTCATATTACTCAATATATTCTTTTTTATTTTCTTCTGTTACTGGAATATTTCGACCATTTTCTTTCAAATCAACCGATACTACTTCTCCAAATCGATCGTCTTCGGTAGAAAATGTTAGATCGAAAACATCCGTAATATCATTCTCTCTATAATTTATAATTATAATTATTAAATGGTTATTATATTATATAATTATTTAAAATGGATTAAAAAGTTATAAATAAATAAATATATATATATATATAAAAACTATAAATGGGAAAGCAACGTACAAAGCCCATTTCAAACTTCTATGAAAATCGGCATCTACACTCTCCATATCTGGCAATCCAACCTTCTTCTTCAGGATCATTTTATAAAATGATATGATGAAAAAGGCGTCTAAAAATCGACGATGGAAAATGGCAAGACCGACCACTCGGCCGATGAATTTAAAGTAATTAAGATGTTCGGGATTAATTCCGGAATGAGGATTAATTTGAAGAGTATAATTATCATGTGCGGAATATTCGAAAAGGCAATAGAAAGGATTGAACATTTCATGAGAAAGAAGAAAGAAGAATTCTCTAAAGTACCAAAAAAAAATCAATCAATCAATCAATCAATCAGATAGTTAAATCTTTTTTTTTTTTTGAAAATTTCGAAACGAATTAATAATTACCTTGATAAACCACCATAATCTAAACCATCTTCTCCATCAAATTTAATCATTAGACGTTTTTTTAGATCTTGAGGTTGTTGTCGCATAATTTCAGAATAAGCTTCTTCAAAAATATTACTTCGTCGAACTTTAATATGGCATTGACCAGGGACAGGCCGAAGTGCTGGTTGAGATCTGAAATATATGAGTTTTCTACGGAAATCACGTTTATATTGAGGAACGTTTTGACTAAAAACCAAAAGAAAAAATAAAGCAAGTTAGTATTAAAAGGGTTTCTTTAATATTTAAAAAAGAGATTTTTTTCTAAATCCACTTACTCTAAACTACTAGGTAATCGAGGATCATCCCATGTAGTCGTTTTTGTATTATGATCTACAAAATATACTCTAGCTGTACTTGTCAACCGCATTTCCCAACCAGATGGTAATGGACCCAATTGAGATACAGGTTGTTGTTGGATGGTAACATTATTTGCATTTCCACCATACATTCTAATATATTGTTGTCTACGAGGGTCTACCCAAGTTGTCGTTCTAGTATTATGATCAACATAGTATGGTCTGCCTTCTGGCGTCGTTCTTTGTTCTTTAATTAACAACATAATAAATAAATATTATTTAATTAATATTATTTAATTACCATTATTTAATTACCATTATTTAATTACCATTATTAATTACCATTATTTAATTACCATTATTTAATTAATTATAATTTATTTAACAAAAGAAGAAAAAAAAATAATAATAATTTTGATATAAATTGCTTACCCCAACCAGATGGTAACGGACCATAACCAGCTGTTGTAGCACCAACATGTCCAACAGGGGCCAATCCATTTGCAGCAGCAGCACCACTTGATGATGCCTCAGCACTTGAACCCACAATAGAAGTTGAAGAAGCACTATTAGGTAAAGGAGATGAAGAACCTGATGGTCTTTCTTCAGGAAGCGTACGATTATTATGTCGACGACGTTCTAATTCTGTTATAGTTTGTTGCTCTTGTAGTCGTTGGGTAGGTGTAGCTTTCATTGAGGGTCGAGCCCAAGTAGTTGTACGTGTGTTATGGTCGACATAATAAGTACGACCAAGATGATCGACACGACGTTCCCATCTAAGAGGGGGTTTTTTTTTTTGTCCAAATTAAATTATATAAATAATATAATAAATATATAGGTGTGCGTGTGTGGGTCATTGTTTCAAATTCTCTTGAAAACAAAGCAAAGTAAATATATATTACCCAGGTGGCAAAGGTCCATATTGATCTTCGAAGGAACTAAATGTGCGCACTGCAGAAGAATTTCCAGGTGTAGGTGTTGCTGCCGTTGTAGTAGAATTATTAATAATATTATTTGGATTACTAGGGCCAGCTATAGGAGGAACTAATGAACTAGATGAAGCTAATGCAGAAGGAGTTTGATTGATAAGGCTGGTGGGTCGTGAATTTTCAATTGGAGTTCTTTCATTAACTCTCTGATTTGTAATGTTTGAAATAGATGACGAATCGGAAGAATTTGTACGGTTGTGATTTGGCATAGGTGGGCCGGGAACTCCGGGATGTGCGGGAGGGGAATTTACATTTGTTGATAAGTTAAGGATGAGTTTACCGTGCACAACTTCATTTGCGTTTGACTTTTTCAAATCCTTTGTTAACATTTCTATTATATTATTTAAATAAATAAAAAGAAATTATTATTATTATTATTATTATTATTATTATTATTATTATTATTATTAATTTAAAAGAATATTTACCTTCGCCCCCAACATTGATATCAAATACATCCCCTATTTGAATATTAATTACTCCTAAAAATCCTTGGTCTTTCTTTTTAAATTTTTTTTGATCAAAGATTTGAACAGCAATTACACTTGAATTTGATACTTGTCTAAAATTTCAAATTCATAAGATTATAAATTTCGATTATAAATTGGATTATAAATTGAATTATAAATTGGATTATAAATTGGATTATGAATTGGATTATTTGAAATGTAAATATTATACATAAAAAAAAAAGAGACAAGATCTTATAGATTTTTACATACACGTCAAAACTTTCATTCCAGTATGGATTCAGATTTTTCTTAATTACTGAAGTAGTATGTGTTTGTTCACCATCAACTGTAACTACCGCAAAAGGATCAGGTAATCCTAATAGTAAAAAATATCAAGAAAATAATTAATATTAATGAATAAAGTGATTTTTAGAAATAAATCATATATAAAAAAATAAAACGATTCATAAATTAAGACTACATACGAAAAACATCTCTTTTATATAAGCCGTCTGCAGCAATAACTAAAATGAAAAAAAATGAAAAGATTTAAGTAAATATACTTCTGTCATCTGTTAAACGGCACTTTACCCATTTTACTTACCCGTTAAACGAATTGTTCTACTGTAAAGTTTGTACAAAGAATATTAGATAATATTGTTGTAAATCGAATAATTTCATATCAAGAAATGAAAGTAAAAACATTATTGATTTTAGTGAAAAAGTGTTTCAAAGATAAAAAATGATATTCTACCACACATCCCACACATACACACACACACACACAAAAAAGCTTACGTCTGTGTTGGACTCGACGATGCCATTAGGTATTATTTAACACAAATTTTTTTATCTTATCGTTATCACAAGTCTTGAAGATTTTAAAAAGGGGGATTGTTTTTATGTATTTTAAGTAAAAGAGTAAAAAAAAAAATTAAAGAGGAAGAAACTATGAAAAGAAAGAAAAATTTTGCTTATCCGTTTGTCATTCAAAAGTAACGACTCCGCCTCACCACCGGATGAGACCAATCAATTTTTTCCTCAAAAACCTTACTAATCACGTGAAAATATGGAAATTGCAAATTTTTGCTAATTAAAAAAAGAAATCATAGTTATTTGATAATTATAGTTAATTACAATTATTTATTTATTTACCTAATTTGTATTTATAATAAAATAATCATTTTATGTTTCATGAAGATTTTAAAATAAATAAATATATATATATCTCTCTCTCTCTATTTTTTTTTATCTAATACAATATTTGTTTTAAAGTTAAATTCTTATATTAATATCTATAAATGAAATTATTAAATCAACTTTATTATATAATATATAGATTCAATATATAAACACTTTCAACATTGTAACCAAAAAGTTGAATGTCTTCTTCTTTTTCTGGTTCTCTGTGTTTTTGTTAATTCATTCTTTCTTCTAAATTTTATTTTTCGTCATACCTTTACATTTTTTTTTTTAATTTTTTTTTAATTTTTTCGAATATTTTATATTTATATTTATATTAAATAAGAAATTGTGTAATAATGTTAATAATATGTACAGTCATATATTAATTAAATAGATTTTAATATATCTTATGATCATCTTTATAATTTACACAATATCTAATAGCATTTAATCGTCATGCTGCATTGAAACTAAACTTTTATCAGTAAAGTATATTTACTTTTATTTTTTATATAATAATAAATGTATAAATTGTATAATGCACAAATGTCCACGCGGGATATTGATTTTTTAAAGAATTCGAAAAATTTATCTTTGATGATTATTATTATTATCATATCATTATTATCATAGTAAAATAATTATTATAATAATTAATATAATTATTTGGCTGGCTGGCATTAATATACAATCCAGCAATTATTTAAGAGTACTTAGTTCCGGATGTCTAATAATTATCAACAGTCCGCTCAACTTTCTCGTCCTCCTCAACTTTATAGTCCTCCTAGTACTGTTCCTTCTTTAGCTTTACCCGTTTCAACAGATCACTCACCGATTTCCCTTTCTTCTTACCCTACTACCAATACCAATACAGCTTCTAATAGAAGTTTTCAAGGTCGTAAGATCCCACAACTTGATACTACAGCTTTAACTTTAGATCGAGTAGTAGAACAACATCATTTTTTACAATCAAATTTAAATTCTTCTTCTTCCTCAATATCTAATTACTTTAATAATCAAACTCTTAGTCCAAATTATTTAATATTTCCTAATACTCCTAATACATCTGCTAGTACGCCTTGTACTCCAGGTGGTACTAATAATAATTATAATAATAATAATAATAATAATAATAGTAGTAATAATAATAATAATAGTTCACCTAGTACTCCACGTCGTCCATCTATTTTATCTTCGAATTTAGTACTGGGAAGTCATCAACAATCAATCATTGAACGAACATCACTTACGGAAATTATCATTTTTACCCAAAATCAATATAATCTTTTAAAACTTTTATGTTCTGATCGACCATCATCAATTAATAATTTAGAATATTGGGAAAATATGTTATTAAACGAGAAATTTCCTTCTACGAATTCTGGGTGAGTCAGCAGTAAGTGATGGGTATATTATATATAATTCTATTTTAGATTTATATTTTAATATTTGTTATTATAATACTTTTTTGGTTTTTTTTTTTTTTGGTGAATGGTTTAAAATTTCAAGTATATATTTTCATTTGAAATAATTGTTCAAGTAATTGTCAAATCAAAGTAATTAGGTGAAGAACTGACATTTAGACATATAACTTATTTAAAAAACAAAGGCAAGACGCTTATGATGTTGAAATGGCAACTGTTAGCTTGGCTATTGAATTTGGTGAGTAAAAGGAAATAAAATGTAAAAAGGAGGAATAATGAAAAGAAGGATGATGAGTAACAAATATTCAATTTTCAAATACGATCAATATAATTAATATATAATTAATATATAATTAATATATAATTAATATATAATTAATATAATTATACTTATATATTTTTTATAGCAACAAATAATGACAAAACTGCAAATTTCAATACATTACTTCTTCATGCATTGAGTCAAATGAATCAAGTATTAGATCCAGAATTTACAGGGTAATATTATCTGATCTATAGCTTAAATTAGCCTATTATAATATTATACAATATATTATAACCTATTTTTTTATTATTATTTTTTTTCAGGGAAATTCCTGAAGCAGCTTATAATTCATTATTTCTTGTAAGAATTTTTTCAAAACATTTTATTGGAAATATGACTCATGATGAAATTCATAGACAATTTGAAGGTTTGTTTATTCTTTTATAATAAAACAAAAGAAATTGAATTTATAAGATTAATTAAATATATATTATTTCCCAGGTCCTATAACAAGTATTTTGGGTAGTTCTCCAAATGGAAATAATGAGAATAAAACAAGATCTTTGTCATTGTCATCTTCTTCATCTTCATCAGGGGAAGAACGTAAAGAACATAAAGAACATGAAGAACCTAAAGAATCTGAGGAACCTAAAGAACCTGAAGAACCTAAAGGAGGAGTTTATAAACTTAACCCAGATAAACTTGTAATAGATCCGAAAGTAATTCTTGATTCTCGACCTAAAGCAATACAATTATTAGATGGGTTGTTAAATATTATATTAAAAATTGATCCAATGTATGTAAGAATTTTTATTCAATTTTTTTTTTTTTTTTGTATGTGCTTTGGGATATTAATTTATTGAAATCTCTAAAAAAAAAGGACCACCGCTTCCGCATATGAGTATTATCAGGAATGTTTAAATACCATCTTGGTATTATTCTCTACTCAAATACATCAACCTTCTTCTAATAAAATTGGGAATGATTACTTCTTGAATATATTTTTAAATCAATTTAGGTATTTCGAATTTATTTATTTACTTATTTGTTTTATTTATTTATTTATTTATTTATTCATTTATTTATTCCATCAATGTTAACTTTAATTACTTTAATTATTCTAAAATTTTAGTCATCTAAATAATAAATTAACTTTACAATTAATGACAAATTTTGTTGAACAAAGACCTCCACCATCTTCATCATCAAGTACTTTATTTTCAATACTCTACTCAAACTTTTTCATTTCATTTTATTCATGAAATATCAGAATTTTTAGAATAATTATTATTTCATTATTATTATTTATTTTTTTTTTATAATGATAGGTGTGGTTTATAATGCCTATTCATACCTTTTCCCTGGTAGATCGACTGCAACTTTACCATCTGATCCTCTTCCGGTAGCGGAAAGGAGTTTGCTCATATTACTTTTACTTGCAGCTCAATGGAAAATTCCTGGTCAGAAATATAATAAATTTCGGGAAGGAATTAAATCTTTAAAAGATTCGCAAGGTTAGTTAAATGATTATATAAATAATTATCTATTTATCTATATGTTTATTTTTAACGTTATATATATATATTGTTTTTCTTGAATTTTAGCATCAGAAGATTTTGAAATGGCAATATCATTTCGTTCTTTATATCAATTAATATGCCGGTCAGTTAATAATAATCTTAATAAAAAAAAAAAAAAAATTTAATTCATAAAAAATTTATTTTAAAATAATGAATATATTTTATAATCTTTTTATATATATACTCAAATTTTAAATTTTAAATTTAAATTTTATGTTAGTCAGTTACCAAATGAAGAAATTTGTTTAATGTTATATTTATTAATGGTTGAAAATGAGGATTTCAGAGTTTATATATTATCAAGATTAGATCCTGAAATTCTGGTAAGTAATAAAAATTGGATATTAATAAATTGTAAAAAAAAAAAAATGATTAATTAAAATAATTATTTAAAAATAATTGAAATTAATTTAAATTAATTTAAAATAATGTTGAATTATTATTATTATTATTATTAAATTTTTAAAATTTTTTTAAAGTTGATTTTTAAATTATATTTTTTTTTTTGAAAGTATGAAATTATGATATTATTATTTTATTATTATTATTTTTTTTATTTTATTTTATTTTTACTATTTAATATAAATAGTTACTCCAAATATTACGATTACTTTATGATGGAATCGAAGGGAAGGCTAATTATTCTCAAATGTATATTCTACTTACTATACTTTTATTATTTAGTCAAGATGAAGTATTCAATGAGAACATTCAAAAAATAGTATCCTTTTTATTACTTATTATTATTATTATTATTATTATTATTATTATTATTATTATATATTGTTGTATATGATAAATTTATTTATTTTTTCTTATTCAACCTTAAATTCTTAATTAACTCGATTTAATTAATTTTATTACCATAATCAAAATCGATCTTTATTGATTAGACAATAAATTATCAACCCTGGTTTACAGAACGTTTATTAAGATCAATATCTTTAGGTGGACTCACTTATCTGGTTTTAATACGTATTATACAATTTAATCTTAGTTCACATCGGGTAAGTGGAATTAATTTAAATTGGTAATTGATTACTTTTATTGATTATTACTTACAATTTATATTTTATATTAGGATGTATATTTTCATACAAATTGTCTAGCCACTTTGGCAAATTTAGGAAATAGTATTCAAGATATTCATCCATATGTGGCGCAACGACTCGTAAAGTAAGCGTGCATATATTGAATATCTTTATATCTTTATATTTTTATATTTTTTATATTTTTATATTATCATATTTTTATGTTTTAAACCTACAATCTTACTATGCACTTTTTTCTATTTCGTATAATTTTTTTTAGTCTATTTAATATTGTAGCAAAACGATATCAAAAATTGGTGAAAAAAGAGCAGAATGAAGAGGACGAAGTAAAGGTAAAATAAATTTATCAACAAAGTTTATTATAAAAGAGTTTTAAATTTTCTTATGATGAAATTCCTTTCTTTTTTTTTTATTTATTTTATTAGAGTGATGATGTCGCTATATACGCTGATCTTGTTTGTCTGGTGTTGGAAATTATAAATTCTATTCTATCTCGAAGGCTTAATTCAAATCTACAATTAATATATTCATTACTTCACAAAAAAGATCTTTTCACTCATTTTCAATTACATCCAAGATTTTCGGAATTAATTGCTAATTTTGATAATGTATTTTTTTTTTTTTTTTGAATTTTTGGATTTTTATTTTTATTATTTTTATTACATTTATTTTATTTTATTTTTTTTATTTTTTATTTTTAAATTAATTGATGATTTTCCTTTTCTCTTACAAGGTAATAAGTTATTTCCATTCGAGAATTTCAGAATCAAATTTAAAATCTCCATCAGCCGAAGAGGTAACAGAATTAATAGAAACTGCAGCGAGAACATGGCCGCCTGGTCGACTTAAAGTATGTATTTTAATTTTAATTTCTTCATTATTGATATTAATAATAATATAATATTAATATAATATTAATAATAATATTAATAATAATATAATAATATAATAATATTAATAGGAATTTCCTGATCTTAAATTTCAATATGAAGAAGAATCAGATTCACAAGAATTTTTCTGTCCTTATGTATGGGCACTTTTATATCGTCATACTTGGATTTATTGGGATGAAGATAAAGTACGCATTCTTCATAATTATATAATGGTAAGTTTCATTCTTTATTACTTCGTGTCATTTATCATTATTATTATTATTATTATTATTATTTTAAAAAATACGGAATGATAATAATAAAGAGTATTTATACTTTTAAATTTATTTCATTTTATTAAATAAATTTAGTATGAAGAAATAGAGGCAAATGAAATGGAGTAATGGTTGCGATGTCACATTAAAAAAAAATAAAAAAAAAGAATTTTATATATAATAATATTTTTTAGTTTTTTTTTTCATATATTTATATATTAGACTAACTTTCTTTTATATGATACTTAATTATTAATTATTAAATCTTTGAAGAAAATTTACATATATAATTAAATATATTTGTTTATCACCTTATCACATTTCAATTTTTAATTTTTTCGATAAAAAAAAACATATATGTACGTTTTAATATTAATTGAACCCATCACCCCTTAGCTTATTTATTTTTTAATGGTATTCGAACTGAACTTTAATTGACTTTTTGAAACAATTAAAAAAAAAGTCACAGACTTGAACCTAGATTTTTTTTATAATAGATAAACTTTGTATGTACAAATTTTAATAGTTCAATTTGTTTGGAAAAATATCAAAATACAAACTATATCTTTGTATCTTTGACACGTTAAAAAAAGTAGTTGAAGCAATAAAAAATCTCAAAAGATAAATAACAATAATTATAAATTTATTATTTTATTACTTTATCTAAAAATAAAATAAACTTTTGTCCAAAAGAATTATGTCAATACCAGCAACTAGTGTATCATCAGAACAATGTTTTTCAACTAGCGAATTAACAAGAGTGCTTTTTACCACAGCCAAAGAGGCCCAAGTCCAATACAAGATATGAAAATAAAAGGCGAAAAAGAACAATAAAAACAAACTTTATGAAAATTCAAATTTGTGTAACGAAATTTTTTTTATCAATTTGGGCACATGATTTGTCACTTTTAATTTCGAACCGTTTTATAAAAGTCACGTGAAATATGCGTTTGTAAAGTGCCGATTTTACAAAAATTTATTATATAATTTTAATTATCTCATTAGAAATCTATCGGAGCTATAAAATACCTTAATAAAAAATGTAAATGTTATTATTTAGAATATTTTTAATTATTACCATATTTAAGGTTATGAACTAGAATTTTGACTTTAAATAAGAGCTAAAAACACAATAAAATTATTTGCCATATATAAAAGTGTTTCTTTGCTTATAAATCATCAAAAACGATACTAAGTAGCCTTATTCTAGAGAATGCAATACATCTACTGTAAAAGTTCGAGATTTTTAAAACATAAATTTGATAACCAATTAGTGATTTTATTTTAAAATCATTAATTACTCATTCAATTTATTTTTTAAAAATCTCAAACTTTTACAATAAATGCATACTCTAGAATAAAGTTACTTACAGTAGTATCATTTTCTATAATTTATAAAGCAAAAAAAAATACTTTTATATGCAACTTCAATCAATTAACATAAAAAAAATTAATTTAATATGTCAATCAAACATAGCTATATAAAAAGTATTTTTACAGCTTATATATTATTCAAAATGATACTAAGTAACCTTATTCTAGAGAATGTAGTGCACTTACCATAAAAGTTTTAGATTTTTAGAACATAAATTAAATGAGTAATCAGCAATTTTATTTTAAAATAAATTTAATTACTATTCATTCAATTCTTAAGAAAATGGTTTGAAACTTTTATAATAAATGTAATATATTCTTGAAATTAAAATTACTTAGTATTATTTTCAATAGTATATAAGAAAGAAAAAAACTTTACATATGAAATTTTATAAAAATTTTACAATTATTAAACTTAATAATTTCAAGTAAATATTTATAAGAATTTCTATTAAAAAGTAAATAAATAAATATTAATTTTAATTATTATCTTTCTTTCTGTTTGTGATAGTCTTTAAAATAACTACTTCTACTCTTATTATAATATAATACAACATTATATTTTATATAATACAATTGTAATTATGAAAGATCTTTTAATATTTTTTTGAAGACTTTTATTTAAATACTTATATCAAATACAATTACTTCTTTGTTTTCACTATTTAGAAAAATGTCTTTCTAATGTATATCTTAATAAAAAAAGTTCAGATTTTTCTTAATATATTGATTTTTATTAACTAAATTAATTTTAATAAACTTGAATTTTTGTGTTATTTCTTTTACTTGATTTTTTTTTGAACCACTATCTTTATTTTCAATACTTGATTTAATTAAATTCCATATTAATTTTATTCAAAATTCTTTATAACTAATATTCATTAGTCAAATTGTAAAAAATCAACACCTATTATTAGGGTTGTTAACCGGAGCATAATGTTCTGGCATCAACTCGGGTTATGTATCACTCCGTCACGGAGCGGGTTAAGATTTCTAATTTTTTGTACTAACCCGGAGCAAATTATTTATTAT